GGGCTGGGGGCGGGGGGGGCGGGGGGGGGCGCGGGGGGCGCGGCCGGTCTCTCCACCCTCTCCCCGCGCTCGGGGCTCACCCCCCCCCCCCCTTTGTTTTTTTTTTTTTTTTTTTTTTTTTTTTTTCGAAGTCTTCTTGCTCGTTGCTTGCGTCATGAAACTTTTTTTTTTTCTTCTGCCGGGTGTTCGGAGGGAAATGAAATTTGAGCTTAGGGCCATACCTGTGATCGCCGGGACCGGGCATAGATTTTATCGCGCGATATACTAGATTAGAAGTCAAAATGAACAAATCGTAAAATCCGGATAAAAAGAACAACCTAATTATTACGTGAAGACCCACGCCTTGGTGATAATCTCTACTTCCTGGCCTAAATTTTGGATACGAATGCTGAGGTACGATTAACTAAGCCAGGGCGAAGCGGAAATAGCGACTGAAAGTAACCTTTCATGGTCCCCTTTATCGGAGACTTCTACAAGAGAGCTGGTTCCCCGGGGTTCGTGAGTTAGGTATCACAAGAGAACAAACGACATGGCCGATGAGTGAACAATGCTGGCATTCATGAGCTACCGGGGGAGAATTTCTTTCTCTCAAACCTATAAGAGAGATTTTTTCATGCAATCCCCAAAAACCGAGAGATGTATTCATGTTTAATTGAATTCGTAGGCCGAAATGACAAAGTCGAGGTTTAATATCCCACCCAAGACGCCGCCAGACACATTGTTTAGGAGTGTCCATCCCACCCATCAATGCTCGTCATCCGCTGATCGGCCACACGCACGTACAAGTCTCTCTTGCAGTCTCCGCGATCCCGGGCCGTCCCATTATCAAATGCTAGTCAAAGAAGTTACGCATTTTTTAATTTATTTTAACGGGTGTTGGCCTGGACCTTTTGGGCAGCACCTCGGGCACCCTGCTTTCCGACGATGCGCTGGGTCTGACCCTTGGCGGCAGTGGCAGCCTTCCTGGCCTTCTCGGAATTCTTGGCGGCTTGCGCCTGAGCCTTCTTCTCCTTGCTCTCCTTAATGGCCTGGGCGCGGGCCGCTGAGCGGGCCTCGGGTCTCATCGAGCGCTTCTCCTTAATAACATCGAGAGAGGCACCAACGATGGCACGCTGGGACTTGACGGTACGGCGAGTTCGCTTCTTGGCAGCTTCCTATAACTGGTGTCAGTGGCAGTCGTGTTGTGGTTATGCCGCAAGCTCGAATAGGCTATATCGCGAATGAATGCGATTGTGTTTGATACGATGTGTGGATATGGAGTTGTTGAGGTTTGGGTACAGGGAGACATGAAATATCGTACCTCAGTGATACCCTTGCGGTGTTGTCGTCGGAAAAGAACAGTCCATGAGATACGACGGGGGTTCTTGCGCTGGAGGAAGAGAGACTCTGACTTTCCGTTCTGGAATCGGAAGACCTTGCTGTCACCTCTGACGTAGAGCTTACCCTAAAGCCAAAAACACCATCAGCAATTATCCATTTGTCAAAAGGGCATAACAAACGGAAACACGAGCCGTCATGACGTTCGCATTTTAGTCTCGGTATCGCAAAGGTTAACGGTGTCGTTTTAGCCGCAATCCGCTCTTCTCCTCATCAAATCCAATAATCCCCATTCCCAATTCGTGCGACCAAGACTCCAATGCGATCGATCATGACGGCTGGGTGAAACCATAAGGATTGTGGGTAGAATGTACCTTGCCAGGGTAGATTCTCTGGCCAGAGAAGGAGTCGTCGTAAGTTCTCATGTTGACGGTTGGTGGTGTTGAGAACTTAGGTCGGCTGTGGTGGTTAGTAAAGGCGTGATGTTGGGAATTTGGAGGAGGCGGCTCAAAGACTGATCAGACTGGCGTCGAATTTCGAAAAGTCCAAAGTGCGCGTGCAATTGTGGGTTAGAATGACTAAGCCGCGAGAAATAGCCACCAGGCTAAGCCCCGCCTTAGGGTCATTGATGATGTGGCTAAGGTGAGACTGCCGAATTGTGGCTGGTATCTACCCATTAGGTCCATACCTATCTACCTGCCCCACCACTTAGAGAACAACCCCGATAGTTGGATATGCACTTCCCAGTCAAGCAGTTAGGTACCTAGGTACTACCTCACCCTTATCACTCGAGCAAGGCCAGAATCTTAAAGGCTACGTTTCTCATGACTTGACATGACTGTCGATTCAGACCTCATAGCATCTCTGGTGCAACGAGAGTTTGGAAAACTGCCAACTAAGCGGAAGCCTGTTATCCGTGACAATGGTCTTCACGAATGGGTGCCCCTGAGTGGCATCGTTTCTGAAGGTATCTAGCTCATTCTAGTCTCTATAGAATTCAAATTTGCTGAATGATTCCTTTTAGAAAAAGATGGCAGATTAACATGTCTGGCCCTAGCGTACGTCTATCAAAGTCTACATAATGTGTATGGTAGATGCCCGTACGTGTCACTAATAGCAAAAGATACGCAGAACAGGCATGAAATGTCTCCCTTCATCTAAACTGCCACAAGCTCAGGGGAACGTACTTCATGACTGGCATGCCGAGGTACTCGCCATCCGAGCTTTCAACTGTTTTGTGCTAGACGAATGTCGGGCACTAGCAAGCGGTTCAAAGAGTTCATCCCCGTTCATACGACGTCGGGATGGTGCTGAGATAGCCGCTATCCCTAATTCCGTCGAGCTTCATAATGGTGACGAAAATTGGCACAGCCAGCCTTTTGCGTGGAGAGAGGATGTGATACTGCATATGTATTGCTCTGAAGCTCCTTGTACGTCAACTTGTCGTAATCAATTTACATATTCACTGTGATTACTCCTGGGCATACACTTACATCAGTAATAGGCGGGGATGCCAGTATGGAGCTCACTATGGCATCTCAAGAAGATGCAACACCATGGAGTATACCAGTGGTCCCACAACAGGAGACTCTCTCCATTCCTTCTATTGTCCCGGATTCAGCACCGGACACACTCCTACCCGGAAGAGCCTACTTCTCCCAGCTCGGTATCGTCCGCCGCAAGCCTTCAAGAGGCGACGCCCCGTCAACCCTATCAAAATCCTGCTCAGACAAGCTATCTCTCCACCAATGCATGTCTCTCCTATCCTCGCCAACATCCCTTCTCGTGAGCCCCGAGCACGCATACATATCTACTCTCATTCTACCTACGTCTCAATACAGTGCCTCGGGGTGTAAACGGGCATTCTCAGATGGCCAAGGCGAAAAGGACGCCGGTTCGCAACAAGCCCGCATGGCCCCATTAGTCGCACAAGATAGTAACGGCAATCAAGGAGGAGGATACAATTTCCGCCCCTTCACTGTGAAAACAACGGATATCGAATTCGCTTACTCCCGGAGAGCCGCAAGCAATCCCCAGGAACCAAACAGCACGCCGACCGTCAAACCCAAAATAACCCCAAGCAACCTCGCCGTAGCCCTAACAGCATCCAACCGCGTCGAGACAACGCTCAACGGCGTTCTCCAAGGCCACAAAGCATCGCAGGCGCACATCCGTGGGTCGAGCTTCACCTCGCGGCGGCGGCTCTGGAGCTCGGCCGTCGAGGTGGCGAGTCTACTACCACTCGCGAACGCCCAAGACATCGGGAGCATACAACCCGTCCAGCAAGCCCTTGGCGTTCCCATTTCGGCGGGAACAAGGGCAAAAACATACCGAGATCTCAAAGGCAGCTCTCTCTTAGAGCCGCGCCGGCGCGCTAAGCAGGCGGCCAGAGACCTCGCGTTAAAGGGGTGGGTACGAAATATAGGAGATGAGGATTTCGTGCTTTGAGATGTATATATCTATATATATATATATATATACACGTATACATCTCTATGCTGAGAATTATCTATCTAGACAATTGATATCTAGCTCCCACTAAGTCTTTGGAGTTAGACCAAGCCGATGATGCCTCCATCTCGCAGTCATTCAGCAAGCCAAAAATAATATTAAAACTTGAACGTAAATAGTACACCAACAGGTCATTATGCTCCGAGTCCCCAACCTTGACAGACAAGCACTCTACAATTACCAATCAAGGCTACTATATCTACATAACATAAGCCAGTAAGTACTAGCCTATTAATAACATCGAGCAAGAGATGGCCAAAAGTATGTGTTGTATCGTATCTTTTTTTTTTTGCTTTCTTTTATTCATGACAAGGTGGGTAGGCAGGTGGGATCTATGGACCACAAGATCTTCTTAAGCAAGAAAAACCACCGCACCACACCACTCCTGAAAGACTACTACACCCGATCAAAAGACAACGACCAACTTGAAAACGACAATGACAGGAAACCCCCTTTCGATACCAGATATAGGTTTTTTTACCAAACTCCTTCTTTACCTCCCTTGTTGCTTCATCCTTAGTTTTCGAGAAGAGTAAGAAGTAAGAATGAGGAGAGGAATTGAGGAAATGGTAGGTATTCCCGTGTCCTCTACAATTCAAAAGCCAATTAGGGTTCTGTCCTCCATGATACTAGGTTCCCGTATTTTGTTCTTAGCCCTCCATCCATTTCAATTCTTTCCTATTTGAATCAATGATACAAATGTCCGAATGCGATGCCATGTTCTCGTCAGTCGTGTCGGTGTGAGGTTAGTCGTTCCATTGTCGCGGGGAGCTCTATACTTGCAAAGGCATCTTCTATTCTACCTTGCTCTCGAAGTTCTCGCCAGCGACAAGGTCGGGGATGTCATCATCGTCAGCATCACCGTCCTTGTTGTCCTTGGTCATGCTCTGGTAGCTCTCGGCCAGCTTGCGTAGAGAGGCAAGGGAATCGGGGCCGAGCTGGTTCAGGATGCCGGGCACGAGTTCGGTCAGCTCCTTGTCCTCACCAGCACCGTAGATGGCGAAGGTGTTAGAGGGGACAGCAGCGTGGACTAGACGATGAGTTAGTTAATATTGATTTGTTGTTTCCCTTTAGGGTAAGGATGTATAAGGAGGACAATGTGTGCCAGTCGAGCTAGGCTCATCATGAAGATTGGGGGGGTCTACCTTTAGGGGCGGAGAAGTGAATGACGTTGCCGTCGCTCTTGAACATGTTGACCTCCTCAATAGCCTGGATAGGCTGAGTGTTCAGCTTCTTGAGAGTGGCCTGAAGCTTCTTGTCATCATTGGCGCTGCGGGGGACATTGCGCTTCTGCTTGTGCCTGGGAGTACCCTTTCCACCTATCATCATCCAATCAATCAGCCTTGCGGTTCACGTTGCCGGTGTCGGATCGAATGGTATGATAGCAAAGACGGGACAAGACGGGACATACCAGTTCGGGCAGGGGCGGCACCGCCAAACTTCTTCTTGAGCAGCTCCTGGATGTCGGCCATGTTGTCGGATAATGTGGAATTAGAGGAGGGGTGAGAGGAGGAGGCTAGGGTTCTAGGTAGTGGGAAAGAATTAGTCAGTCAGGTCTTGCTATTTGGCCTAGTTGGCGCGATGGAAAAGAAGGGCGGCAGAGAAAGAGACAAGAGACAAGAGACATGACATACCTCGAGGATGGCGATGGCGGGTATTCTACCTACGTCGTCGTCGTCGGGGATCAATTCAATCGTATCTCTCAATCCGCAGTGGGTGCTTCGGACGTTGGGCTATCGCGGCAGAAAATTGGATGTGCGTTGCCAAGACTTTCTGCCAGTAGCTCGCGAAAGGAGAAACCCTCTTCCGCCTAGAAAGCTGTACCTAAGCTCCTGCTGTAGCAGGTACCTACCACCTACCTAACACCTACCTAGCACCTACTATACCTACTGTAAGGTGCTCCCTCCCCGCCCTGGCCGAGAACCCCGCCTTTGCTAGAGACACTATCATGGCACTGTGGCTTAGGTAAGCCAGGCTACAGAACTCGTTAAAGCTCACAACTCCCTTAATGCGATATCATAGGTACTCTACTCTACACAGCAACCTCCACCAAAATGAAACATGAGATAAAAGGTGTAGTTGTTCTTGAGTAGGTTGTGATTACTATGGATGATGTTTCATCTGAGTTGGTATACATATTTATATGAACTCATTAGAAAGAAGTATCATAACTAAATCAAGCAGATATGAGTTAATCAACTGATCCTACCCTCTCCGTACCCTCAGCCATCCTCTCCCTATGAAGCCCGTTACTCTTTTCTCCGTTTTATGGCCCTCCATCGACAGAAAATCCCATAGAGGAGTATAACTCGGATGCTGAAAACAATCAATTCTTAGCCCGCAAGTAGTGGCAATCTGCTCCCAAACATTCCATCCTCATTTCTAAGCAACCAAGTAATCACTAGACTGAGTTTGGGTAACTTTCCGGCCCTGAGATTGACACGCATGTCATCAATCTTCGCCCATTAGTTTCTCCATTTCATCCATACCCGTCTCAATCTCCTCCACCATAACGACATCCCCTTCCGGTTGGCTGGACTGAGGTGAACCAGAAGACTGAGATAGCTGAGACGATTGACTATCTGATGCCCTAGATCGATATACTTCTTCATTCTCAACTTCCTCCATGACAGGAGCAAAGACACCAAGACCAAGCAACTGATCATACTGAGCCTCACTATCCTCATCCTCAGTCTCGAAAGCACCCAGTGTGATCTCCGGTAAGCCATTCAACTCGCAATTCGTTGGAAGATTAGCGATACGACCAAGCTCCTGGTCAAAGACCCAGGGAAAGCTTATAAATGGCATCGACTGGTCGAGAGCTAAATCGCCAAAATGGGGATTTGCATTGTAGAGCGCCACCTGAACTGCTTCCCATGTAACGCGATAAGCAGCCGCGATGAAGGGATACAGAACATCTGGCTCCCGCGAACCTGCCACGCGAATGCATGCGTTTCTGAACCTCTCAAAATGACCAGCGATGATTGGGCCCAATGTTTCCTGCATCCGGTACTCGCTGCCCACACGAGGTTTTGCCAGCACAAAAGTACTCCATATCTCGAATTCGGTGTTGATCTCGCGCTGGTTCATGATCTTCTTGAGTGCCCTGTCATGCTGCGCCTTGATAATCCTAGCTTTCCTCAGCACGTCATCCGTAATTGCAAACCGTCGAAGGATACGTTCATCAAATGCGCCGTTGAAGTGTGGATGGAACTCTGGTTTGTGGACAACGTCGTAGAGTTGTCCGAGGATTTTCCTAGAGTAATATGACTTCCCTGACTTTTCCATGAAGTGTGGATAGTCCCTTGGACGCAGTGATGCTTTGAGGCGCGCAGGCTGGCCTGACTTTGGGTAGTCGACGGCGTTAGAATGCAGATGGGCTAGTTCCACACATGTCGGGTGTTTTGGACCTCCATCAAGTCTATCTGCCTGCGCTAAATGTGCGTGGGCAATGGTACTGAGTGAATCGTTCTTCATGTAAGCAACAAAAAATGCGACGAGGTCACTCGGCCGCACATCCCGAGTAAGTTCCTCTGGCTGTGCTGGCTCGTGTATCATAGGGGGATGGTTTCGCTCCGGCGGTATCAGAGAAGGATCCCAGATAACAAAGAAATCATCACCATCCAGATCGCCGCCTGAGCACATGGATGGGATATCACGGTCTCCACTGGCTGGGAAGACAACAACATTACGCAGGTGTTGGAGCGCAGGGACATCTACAGCCTCAACAACACGTATGTCACCAGGGTGCAAGGACGGGTTGCGGCCCACAACGCAAAGTCCCGTAATAACTTCATAGCTGTTCAAGTTGTCTGGAGATAATCCTGGTCTTGGCACTTGAAGGAATATCTGGGGAAGCTCCTGCTTTGAGGCTTGGGCTGGCAACCCCTCTTTATTGAAGACAACTTTTGGTTCGTAATAACCTCGAAGCGTATCAGTCTCGTCGACACAGCCAAACACAAAGGCGCCCTTTTCAACCACGATACGGGCTTTCTCGCGAAGTAGTCGTAACGACCATGCCCGCCACACCTGAAGAATGCACATGAAAAAAGGCTCCCTAGTACTCATGAAACCATCACTAATCATTTGGGCGACCTTTGTAGTAATCCCATTCTGATCGACAAACCTGGTCAAGAGACGCATGGCTGTCATCGGGTCCATCAATGCTTGGTCGTATTCTATTAATTGTTCATGTTGCATCCGCAAGAATGCCTCATCAGGAATGCCCAGGCAGCTAAGAATAGTAATTGTTTGGCGGTTTAGTGTGGCCACCGAGAAGCAAGAGGGTTTAACAATCTCTAAATGGGAGGATTGAGCGTTGAATTTTTTCTGAGATGGTCGTAGGCTGACTTTGTTGAACTTCATATCAGGCCAGCAAACCAGCAAACCCTTGCTACCACCGAGCCGAAATTGAAACGCCGAGGGGAGAAATCCTTTCTTCAGGCGGAGAGGTTTGGCAACATATTCAGCTAGTTGTGGGGAGATCTTCCCGACGCCATCTGTGAAACACCAACCATTCCTATAAATATCATCTATTTCTTCGACACTCTGGCTAATAGGGCTATCGGTCACTGCTCTGGTTGTAGAAAAGCATTGACCTAGTCGGGCTGAATGCTTGGCTACAACCCTGATGTGTGCAAAGTCCCCCATCCAGGCACGAATCTGGTTGCAGTCGATATGGTCCGTAGGTGCAAAGAAGTAGGCTCCATTTTCCCTGAACTGAGAATTACCAAAGGCAAGGAACTCAAAGTGGCGACCACCAATATCAATCCCATTTATGAACGCGCGAAATATTCTATTGAACAGAGCGTTTGACTGTGAACTCTCAGGCGACGAGAATATCTTGCCTTTTACAAGCTCATCGGTAAATTGAACTCGCAAAAACCGATCAGAATATCGAGCGAATTGTCGTAGTACCCGGTTTGAAGGCTCTGGGTTAGGAGTACTCAGATACATTGTGGAAGGCGTTATGACGACCTTCCTAACCCAGGCACAATGAGACGGAGCTCCAAGCTCTGGGTAATATGTCAAGGCCTTCCTATCCTCAAAAAGTGCCATGGGATCGTAAAATCGCTTAGGGAAAAGATTATAATCATTATTCAAATCCGGACCTCCCGATTCGGCAACGTAGGTAAGGAGATCATTTGCGCGGTTCCTCTTCTTCTTACGTGTTCTAGAGAGTTCGGCGAGTTTGCGAAGAAAGTCATTGCTGAGGTTGACCTCATCGAAATACCCTTGAGAGATGCAAACTTCGAGCTGGTATCGCACTTCATATGGAAGGCGAATTTCTTCAGTTGCGGCGAGGAGTGCGACATTCCCTCTACTTGCTTTCGGTTCCAGTGTATTCCAAAACTCTGACATAGTCGCCGGGACCGTGCGAAAGCTATCAATAGCAACGTCTCGAGCCGGAATGTTGAAATCTTCCAACGCCTTCCTCATCACCTCCCACATCGACAAATTAGAATTTGTCAACGCAAATGTGGCTTTGTATGTCGTCCATCTTCCAATATCGATAAAGCGGTGTTTCGTATGGAGGGAAGCACTGTCATGCTTGAACCATGCCGTGTCGTACATGACGCTCACAGACCGATTCCATAGAAACCGCTCCATCCATACAGCTCTTTCCTCGGAGTGTGTTTCTTTACTATCGCCTCTTTTGAAGAAGATTGGGGGGCTTTGGAGCGGAATCAGCACAGAGAACGTTGATATATCTTCCTGAAACACTAAAAGCTTTGTAAGTTGCGAGAAGAGTATTCGTGCTTTGTATACTGATATTATGTCTTCAAGTTCCCCGATTGGCGACGGGTGTTGAAGCATGGAGTCGGCTCGGCGAGGGTCATCGACGACACATGGAAAATCTAGCTCAATTGCCCTCGACTTTAGATCCAACAAGAACTGGAAATCATCACATTGTCTGTTCCGTATGGTTCTCATCGTCATAAACTCATCAGGTTGGGAAAGCAGGCCAAACTGGAGCCTTTGAGGTTCAATCTTCAACTTTGGGGAGAAAATACGTCCTCCGGGCGTGAGAACGTTCTGTGGAGGTTTGTGTGGTAGCAGCATGACCGTGACATTGTACTCTTGTCCACCGATTTTCATAACTACCCGATCATTCCAGCATGGTGCAGATGGGGGAGGCACAAAGCGGAGTATGGCAGTGTCCTTCCTGGGCTCGTAAATCTCAATAAAATAAATTTTGCCGTACCGCTGGAAATGCGAAGCTAGGTCAAGAGTTGTGACTAGCTGGGGAAGGGATGAGATTCGGATAGTCAGGCTCTCCCAGTCTTTCCAGTCGGGAGTCACCTGGAAGAGTGACATGATGGGCACAATCCTGCAAGAGGCTTGGATGGGGTGATAAGTGAAGAGATGAGATTCTCTCGGGCTGAATCAATGTTGGATGCAAATGACGACACGACTACTCGAGGAAAAGCAATGGGTGGGTAAGTATTTGGACCAAAAGGCTTCCCGGCTTCAAACTTGGCAGGTCAATCGAATCAAAGATCAAAGACGAAAGCTAACAGGACGGCTGTCTGTTTCTTGTGAGGTAGTGCAAAATGGGTATCTCCAATGGGACATGAAACCCACGGCTTCAGTCTGAGAAGGTAATCACAGAGGTGCTGGGGGTCTCCGCAAGATGGTGTAAGGCAAAGGGAGGCTATGGAGATGATGACGGATTGAACACGGTGTTGAGGAATGTTTGAGGAAGGAAACAAGGAAGGAAGGACGAGCAAATGGTGAACTGGCTGGCGCCTACCTACCCTTTGTACTTTCGAAGGGTTTGTGCCACTCAATGGTAGTAAGTACGTACCTTGGGTATTACTGGCCTGACATCTGTTTGGGGCATGCAGGTACGTGTCAGTTAACCAATTCTAACAATCAGTATCTCGGTTACCTGTGCCTAGGTACTTCTTGTAGAAAGCCAGTGTCGAGTGAATGTGCAAACAGCAGTTGAATGGGGAGGAGAAGAAGCTGGGCTTATGGACTTGGACATGGCCGCTAGAGCAGATAGGTTGGCCGCCTTGGACCTCATGATGTGACTGACTGCCTGCATAACCTAAGACGAGAATTCCAGGTTGAAGAGGCTACACAACTTAGGTGGTGATGATGGTCGCGGACGCAGACTTCCATCAGAGCAAACAAAGCGGGCTACGATCAACAGCTTTGGCAGAGCAAACAGGTCACCAACCACCATTGATCCTCCCCTTCCCACTCAGTAGCGAAGTCAGTTAATATTCAATATACTTGTGGTTTCGAGTAATTTCAGCAACGTATTCGCTTCATCTTCATGTAGCGAATGGTCTAGGTGCGAATATGGCAACGAGACCCGTGACATTGAGTACAACACTGGATTCCTCATCCACATCTACGTAAATACCGAAGATCTAGTGATTATCCCCAGGGAAGGCGACATAATGTCAACAATCCGCATTTAACTACATGAAATTCCATTCCTTTGATCCAAAGTAGATATATTTCATATGTACATACATACATGCAAGCTCTATTCCACAACAGCATCAAATCAAGGAAGCCGGAAAACACCCCATGCATCTAAACTAGAGCAACAGAGATATCCAACCTAGCTAGGCACATCAAAGATCTTCCCCGGGTTCAAGATCCAGAGCGGATCCAGCGCCTTCTTGATCTGCATCATCACCCCCACGGTATCAGGTCCCACCTCGCGGAGCAGCGAGGCCTTCTTCCCCCACCCGATGGAGTGTTCGCCAGTACACGTGCCCTCCATGTCGAGCGCGCGGTTGACCATGTTCTTGACGCACATCTCGACCTTTTCGACCTCGGCCGGGTTGGTGCGGTCGTACATGATGCTCTCGTGGAAGTTGCCGTCGCCGATGTGTCCCAGGATCGAGGCGAAGAGCCCCATCTCGTCCATCTCTTTCTTGCTGATCTCGATGAGATCGGCCAGCCGACTGAACGGCACGGCGACATCAGTGCTCCCTATGTCACGTCGGTCAGCCTACTGAGACATACGTTTCCACGCCGTATGCTGCACATCACAGCGCGCAAAATTGGTGGAGTTGTGATGAAAGCTAGACTTACAGACTTGCTCGCCTCCTTTTCGGAGAGCCAACATCGACCACAACGACTCTTTCCGCGCCGACCACAAAAGCTTCTGTTCGCTCTCGCTCTTGGCGAATTCGAAGTTGCTTCCCAGGTTAGCTTTCGTGATGGTCTCGACCTGCTTGATGTTGTCCTGGACGCTCGCCTTCGTCCCGGCGAACTTGAAAAACAACGTCGGCGCCTCCTTCCATACTTTGGGGGCTGTCGCACCCCCAAGGTTCACCACTTTCATCTGGACGTCATCCATGACCTCCATGCAGGCCACGGGGATACCCGCCTGCATAACGCCCGCTGCGGCGGATGCGGCATCGCGGATGGTGGGGAAGCTGACGACAGCCACCGAAGTCTCTTCGGGTACGATGGCGAGTTTGAGGGTAGCTATACGTTTAGTGGATGAGTCTGGGAGTCCGAGATAATTAGAGGAATGATGTAGTACACACCTTCTGTAACCAGGCCAAGCGTGCCTTCACTGCCTACAAACATCCCGTTGAGGTTGTATCCGGCTGAGCTTTTTCTTGGACGCCGCCTTGTCTTAATGATTGTTCCATCGGCCAATACGACGGTGAGGTTAATAACCCAATCTTTCATCGTTCCATATTTGACTGCATTGGTACCTGAACAATTGGTTCCTATCATTCCACCGATCTTGGCACTCGGGCCTTCCAAGGAGAGTGTGGTCAGCCCAGGTTGATCTCTTCAATATGTCTTAGAGGGAGGAAGGAGGTGGTTAGAATCTCTCATCTCATCATGTACATACCAGGATCTACAGGGAAAAAGAGCCCACTGTTCCATTTCTTGAGCTGTTCATTAAGATCTTGCCACCCAATACTTGGTTGAACGACAATATCCATATCTTCTTTATTGAGTTGCAAGATTTTGCCCTATTTTTCATAACTCGAGTCAGTTACAAGTGCGACCTTGGAGCCTAGTCAAGACAGTCGACCGTTCGAAATCTGTATGTGAGAGAAGTACACTCACCATGTAGGCAAAGTCTACGCTGATGCCACCGTAAGGAGCTGAGAAATGTCCTTCCAGACTAGAACCCCCCGAATACCCAATAAGAGGGATTCGGTATTTGTGGCAGATGCGAGCAATTACCGACACCTGTTCCGTTGATCGTGGATATACAACGGCTACGGGAAGCCCGTCAGGGTTAACCGTAGACCATTCTGAGTAGCCATGTGCATGTAAGTCCTCAGTATCGATACTAATGATATCGTCATCTTCTCCGAGGGCCTTTAACTCTGACCGTATCTCATCTAACGCCTTGATGACAGTCAATCCACAAGTTTCAACTCACTTTCGGTGTACGTGCAACACCGAGAAAACATCATACGACTTACAGTCTCCATTTCCTTCACGGAGGCATACTTGGGCACTGGTGACTTGCAATCATAAAGTGATGTGGTACGTGTCCCCAGAGAGCCATCCGATGCAAAGGTAGCTAGACCATATCCCACAATTCCCGTAGTTGCTGCCAGAGCAAATACTGAAGCACCAGTCCATCTTGAAGCCTGTCCGGATGTGACGGCGTTGGCCGCTTTGCTGGTGGGGGGTTTCTTCAGAGGTGTCTTGACGGAGAACGTACGCCGCCAACCACCGATAAAGCGCCGGGTTGCATTATTCGCCGACATGACTTTGAGACTTCAGGAGTTACACAATATACACACTTGCTATGCACAGTTGGCATGGGTACACAGCAGACTTGGTCCAAGACAATATTTCCGACTGGGCGATAAGGCGGTTTGCCACTGCAGTCCCCGAGTCCCTTTATCACCGTAGAATCCAAAGTTATATCGGCTGATGTCAAAAAGGCAAGAGTGAAAGAGAACGATCACTCAGTTATCCAATGTTAAGGGGGTCGACGCCGTGGTTGAATAAACGAACGCGAGACAAGAGTGAGCGCGCCTAATAGAGGGAGGAAAAGAATATCCGGGGATGAGCTAACTATAGTCTATGCAGAGGGGACCAAGCATTTGTACATTTGTCTATTAGACTGAGAGGAGAAAGTCTAACCTAATAAATCCAAAGAGTTGCAAGTCGGTAAACGAAGGCGGGAATTAGTATATGAGATGCTCTACACATACATATTTGTATGGATTTTCTGCAGTCGAGGAACCCACACTGTACACGAGAATAAGCCAACAGGGAGAGGGCGGCGTTTGAACAACGACTCATTGGGCAAGCCGCTGCCTCGGCCTCAGTTTGCCCGACGAATTGCCCAACCAGACGCCATTAAGACGCCATGTCGCCTCGATTCTGACATTGTCAACGTTAGTTTCAGGACTCAGCAAGTGTGGGAGGTCTTTGGTGCCCATCTCAGGCTCGCGGGGGGTTACGGCTTCCTGGTCGCGTGCTCATGACCGGGGGTGGGACCCCCAGAGCCCGACTAGCGGCCATGGCAATGGGGGGAGGGGAACATGGGCGAGTGGCGGCGGGGGTGTCATTGATCATGAAATGGGCGAACCTGCAATAAGATGGAACTGCGAAAATGCAGAAAGTGTGTGTCAGATGGGCTCCCGTGGCTTCATGACGTAGACAGCATGAGGCTTTCAGGCATCGGGAGACTATCTGTCGGCTGCGAATTGGACACACAATCTATCTGTATCGGGATGCCTGTTCATTGCACCAAAGAGGGACGGGCACAATCAGGTAGGTAGGTATCATTCACAGGCCAATAGCGGGCCCCAGAGGTTTAGTATGGGCAAGTCATCTTGAAAGAATTCGTTTATACAAATGGAGTAAAACGAACCTCCCGCCCTTGCTGTTGTGTGGGTTGGCGATCGGAGTCAAAGTGGGTAACGGATAGGACTCCGGCTCATTTCTGTTTGGCGGGGCCCCGTGCCTAGATATGTACATACTGCTGGGGTACATTTTATGTACGCACTATACCGAGTAAGTAAATGCCAATCTTGGTCCCCTGGCCACGCTTGGCCACGAATTAGTTTTATATTAGAATCGTGTCATCGAATTCTATGAGGCATGGGCCGTTTGGCTTCACTACATAATGTACGTAGTAGTCGAGAGGCTGAAAGAAGCTGACATGGGGGTCAGGTGGGGGTCAGAGAAATGACACCATCAGTACCTACATTGTACCTGACACTAGTAGACGATCTCGAGGTTGCTGTGATGGAATTCTAGAACGATTCCATATAAAGTATCCCAACCCATACGAACCAGAGACCGGGAAATGCAAGCAGCTAAGAAGCCCTGATTGTAGATGGGCCAATGAGGGGGAGATGGGGAAGGATGAGACGAACGAGGAATGATGCATACTAGTATGGTAGTAAGCTCACCATCAATGACCAGGCACCAGATGCAATGGGTTTCTTAACTTGGATATAGTAGCCGAAGCGACATGGTGATTGCATAAATCAGAAAAAGATGTCGTACTCGTCGTATCTGTAAGGGATAGGGTAGAGCCGGCTGAGTACCCTCTGCCCTGGCATGAAGACGCTGGTCCACGAGTTAGTAATGTGGTGTCGGTGTGTGACGGCCAACTCCAAACCACAGAAGCCAGGCTGAACACAATGACATCTCGAAATATTTCGAACCAGTACCCCAATACATACAGGTCATAAGGATGGTAATTGTTAGCGCGACGCTATTTACGAAGAGAGTAAGAGTACTGTTGTTCATAAGGCTGTTATACGTTTTTTGGTAGAAATCTTGCTGTTGATCAGTCTCGAAGCTGTTTTGCCACTCCAAAACCCCTGTGTACGAAGTATATTCATACAAATATCCTCCCAAAAATCCCGGCCTGTACAAAATTTAGCGTTGCGCTAACAATTACCATCCTTATGACCTGTAGCGCCTGAGATCATGCAATTAGGTAAGGACCGAGAGTAATAGAGAGAAGAAACCCGAGTCGACAAGTGAATGGGAAGATCAACCAGGGATAATCCAAGTACACGCACCTGGCACCCCACACGAAGACAGAAGGGGAAAGAGGGGGTTAATCACCTCATGACGATATCGTCGTCAACTTTTACTACAATGTCTTCCTACCTAAGTACCTACATATGAAGTCAATTGGACTACCTATATCTATACCCCATCCGCCTGCCTCCTCTTACAATATACCATCATTCACATACAAAAGACGCAAGGTCTATGATGTATGTTTACTGCATGCCGGCGCGCTATTCAGGTAGGTGAAGCGAGATGAGCTCGATAAAACAGCACGGTGGTTTCCACCATACACATAATCCGACATCGCTCACGAGAACTGACAGCCAAGTTATGCAGTTCTATGCCTACCTACCACTCACAACATTGAAGATACTGCAAGCACTCACTTACTTGAGTGTCATATTTATTGTAAACCTTCGTAATTAACCGAGTCAAATTTCTCACCGGTGGCGTCTCTCAGAATATGTATGTCATAATACAATTGGGTAAATATCAGGTAACTGAATCGTGTTACAAGGACCGCTTCTTATTTTTAGATGCAAAGATATTAAACTATCTAACGAATCTCGAGTCTGTCTTCCCTGCAGAGACAGCACCATTCGTTTCAATTAGCAGTGTACACGACATATACACACGCACATGGATCACACAACAGGAGTAACCTACATGTCTCCGGTGAAGCTGTTGATAGGGACGGGGAAGCCGCCTTATACGAGCCTAGGTAAGTCAGGTAGGACGGCAGCCGCAGAGAGGACCTGACCGAGTCACCATTCTAAGTGAAGTGTTTTTACATCGCATAGATATGACATATCACCTCATCAGTCGTAAGCATAATAGCATTGAGCAAGCACAACAGTTCAAGAAGTCTTTCACATATCAGGTACCAATGCGTCCATCTCACAGACGTCGGTACATAGGATTGCGTTTCACCAGTCAAGAGGGATAGGTGCATACATACATGACACCTAGCCATACAGATGTGCCATTCCTACACAGGTGAGCCGCCAGTTTCAGCCGCGTGCTGAAGTGAGAGATAGCTACATGTATTGGAAATAGGTAGGCCCATTGTATCTGCCTATTATCTAAATAGTTTTGACCAAGAATCGCTGCGCTGCGCTGCACGAACCCGAGTGAACAGCGTGGGCATCCCGTCCATCTACACCTCACCCACCACCTACCGACGCCCAATTCGAACAAAAAAAAAAGGAATAGAATTTCTCTTACCTAGCGGTTGTGCTCAATATAGGCACCGTATCTGAGGTAGGTATCACTCACCTCAGCCATGACCACGCCTACACCACCGCACCTCGCTCGCGCTCACAAGCACCAGATAGCTAGGTAGCTACACCATGACCCAGCCACCAGAAGCAGTGCCACACGAGCTCCTCAGCACCAAGCACCGGTGTAGGCTCGAACTAGGTCCTCGAGCCCGCCTAGCGAGGAGGAAAATTCACCTACTGGACCGGATCAAGCCTGTCGAGGCCGGTGAAGGCGAGGAGACACCATAAAATACCTAAAAACCCTAAAAAAAAAAAGGCTTCTCTCGTACGCAGAGTCGACTAATCTAAGTAATATGTGACCTCCAACGGTTCCCAATCTGGTCTTGTGCATTGCATTTCTGGGTGGTATTTGTAGTACGTAGGGTATGAGAGGAGGTAGCAACGGGTACCTACCTACACTACATACATACTCGACGCATGACAAAGCACCATCGTAACGACCGCCGCGACACAGCCAACTTAACACGAAGATTAACTAACCATCCCTTGTCTTCGCTACCTGTCCAGGCAGAGCTGTTAGATGTCGTGCATGTCGACCCCTAGATCATATGAGCGTTGGATCTATTGCAGCTCGATGTGACCCCTTTACCTGTACGAGTTTTCAGTCGGACCCGTATCCTGGTGCGCGCTGGTTACGTCTGCATGTAGTATACCCAGTTCGGCACTAATATGATGTCCACAACTTGCTTTCGAACAGACCCCTCGAGCAATGGAATCAGCTTGGCCGGGTAATGTCCGGCCACATATTCACGTATTCATCTCGTCGGCTACGTAAGTATTTCTGATAACGATCGGAGCATACAGTCATCATCGACTCGAAGCCGTAGAATCCCACCCTCCCCCCTCCGGTAAAGCACATGGATACATACAGCTTTGCCCTGGGGTTGAAGTTGAGATACTGCCGTGGCCTGCCCCCAGTCACATGCTGCCAGGCCCTGCTTCTGCCATCTACACTATATTCCGCGACGATTCTTGTCTTATTTCCGTGCCAAGGCCAGTCTTGTGTAGCATCTTACTTGCATGCAACGGGTTATGGACGGGAGAAAAGGGGGGTTGCCTCTAGGCTGTTAAATAAGGTTAACTTGTAGGCAAAGTTGACTTAACCTAACCCATTTAAATACGTACTGGCAAATAACTGCAATTAGCTCTAGGTAGGTCCTCCGTTATTTCTTTGGCTATATTCCTAATATCTAGCATCGAACGAATATTCATGAACGTGTTGTCCGTAGGTTCATTCCGGTTAATAAGGATATAAAATACCAAGGTCAATTCTGCTAGGGCAATAGAGCCATCTCTGTTTCTCTAGAGATGTCGTAATCTCTAAAGCAAAGAAAATTGAGCTACTTATCCCATTTAGGAGCTCAGATATAGAAACCCGGGTGACACGTCTTCAATGATGTATTTGAGGTAGACAAACAGTATCATAACGCCCGAGCCTGCACCACTTATGAATTGAAGGTTAGGTTTACCAGAGTGATTTCAACGTCAGCCACAGTGGTATAGAGATCTAGTAGGCATAGGTCACAATTCTATCATTAGTAATCGGCAATCACGTAGAATACATATTCAACTTCATAGGGAATCATGGTCAATTAATTTCTCATTTCATCATCGACCTAAACCGCTTGTTCCAGTTTCGCGGTAAAGCAAGCACACAGTGGATATGCCGTAGACTCCAGTTCCCATGCGCAAAGACAAATCGTCAACCTCTTGCCCAGATGTCCCCCCTTTTTTAATTTTACTGTGGTTCAACTAAAATACAACAAACCACTTAGTGGCCAGCCAGAGCCTGAGCTCGGCGGCGATCTCTCTCCTCAGCGATGGAAAGCTTGACACCGCGACCCTTGGGTAGAGAGATCCAGGGCTTCTCAGAACCAATGACGAAGACGTTGTTCTCGCGCGTGGCGAAGCTGTTGTCAATGGCATCCTTGACGTGGACGATGTTGAAACCACCGTCGTGGCGCTCACGGTGAGTGATGACACCAACACGACCCATGTTACGACCACCAGTGATCATAGCAATGGCACCAGTGTCGAACTTGATGAAGTCGGTGATCTTGCCAGTGGCAAGGTCAATCTTGACAGTGTCGTTGACCTTGATAAGAGGGTCAGGGTAGCGGATGCTGTATCAAACCCAATCACGTTAGCAACAGGACCAAAAAGGGAGAACATACCAGCCATCAGTTCGAAGCTCGACATGGACAACGTGGGAAGTCGTTGTTGGTGTCGTCGTAGGGTTGAAGGGTGGTTCAACCAAAGCTTGATCCAACGGCTGAATGATGTCTGACAGAACACTTACGTTCTCGCATCGTGCGTGACCAAGAATGGGATGCCGCCCTTGCCCAATTGTACGCGCTTGACCTTGCCTAGCTTGTAGGTAGCCTCCTCCTCTTGAATGCGGTGGACGGTGTATCGGCCCTTGGTGTCGTAGATGAGACGGAAGTTCTCGCCAGTCTTCTCGAGAGAGATGACATCCATGAAGCCGGCAGGGTAGGTGTGGTCGGTGCGGACCTTGCCGTCAACCTTGACAAGGCGCTGCATCAGGATGGCCCTCGTCTCGCGGTAGTTCAAGGCATACTTGAGACGGTTGCGGATGAAGATGATGAGGGGAAGGCACTCTCGCTGCTTGTGAGGACCGGGGGAAGCCTTGGGGGCGTAGGTTCCCGAGAGCTTGTCGAGAAGCCAGTGAGAGGGGGCGCTCAGGCGCTTTTGGTGCTTCTTCCTGTGAAGGGAGAGTTTAGTTAGTACTCGAGAGCCTAGATGCTATTCGAAGTTGCGCGCGTTGCAAAAATGTCTTGACCAAAGTGACATCGCTAGATGTCGAGCGGTCTTGACAGTCTGCATGGAGCGATTCACTGGCTGAATGGCAAAGATTTGACTTACGGTCCTCGACCCATGGTGACGATTTGGTGGTTGAAGGGTTGTCGTGAAGTTGGTGGACGATGGGCGACTGACACTCAACTCGGGCCTGCGAAAAGTTGGGATGGATCAGATTCTCTTAGTTTTGGAGGGAAGCGAGAAAGGGCTGTTGTGCCCTAGCTGAAATTGATAAGATAAGAATGGGAAAATTTGGTGGGGCATTTGGAGCACGCCGGCTACTTTTGCCAGCTGTGAGCTCACATTCCACGCCCGGCGGCTTGTTTTAAGGGATGTCTCTAGCTCCGAGATCCCAGCCAATCGCATAACACGCTCTCTGATTAAATACTGCGTCGCTCTCCATCCACGGATGTGTGACTGCATTGCTAAATGGCCAGATGCTGTATTGTTCGGGAGGTCTATATGAGTGTAGCAGCATTAGTTTTGTGACATGGCTTTAACAATACAGCGTGGGTCATTTGTTGCAGAATGAAAGTTTCCACATCACGTATTGGGGGGATTTTACTGAGGCAAGAAGGGACGTTGATATTAGTATTAAGCAAAGAAACAACAAGTCGACTTGTCTATGTGGGAATTCCCACTGAAGGATAAGACCTTGGATAGCATAGCACAGTCAACAATTCATTTGGAGGGTAATTAAAGGCACTAGTAGACTGTAACATGATTGCTGATTCGGTCAATTTTGCGGTCTCCAAATGAGGTCAGACTATTGCACTGTTATTCTCAGGTTGCTGTACACATTTATCCCTAGGCCGCACATGATGCCATCATCGAGAGATTCCTGATAGGATATAAATGCGACCGGCACACTTTTAGCGGTAGGAATACAGCAACCCAGTCACTTAGACTCGAGCTAAATCCAACCACGCCACCGATCAGAGAATACCAGCGATAACAGGAACCCCCGTATCCAAGCATAAATCGTCACAACTGGCTGAAGGCAGCATAACACAGTACAGCTTCACGTAGTCTGTGCCTTGTGTGTGTGCGTGTGCGTGTGTGAATTTGGGTATTATTTTGTAGCTGCGCCATCACCAAATCATATATGGTGCCCAGTGACCGCCCGAGGTGTCTTACTTGGTTCAGATCATCGGATTTTGTCATTTCATGCTATCGTTCCCTGTTCCCATTCCCCGCGTGCCATGCCCGTCAGCCCTTTACTATTTTGATTTATGCGACCAACTCGATGACACCACCAGCCTCTGTGACCTTGCGCTCGGCGTCCTTGCTGACGTATCTGGCGCGAACAACGAAAGGAATCTCAGGGCATCGTCCCTTTCCGAGGAGCTTTGAGTATCCGAGGGCCAACAGGTCAATGACAGGGGCTGTGTCTTTCGCCTCGCCGGCGACGTACTTCTCGCGGATGTCTTGGGGAAGGAGAGAAGCGAGCTGCAACAGAGGGAAATTATTAGCTAGGTTGTTCTGTAATACCAGGTCTAAATCGGAGAGGTAACCGAGTGTGGGTTGATTTACCTTGTCAACGTTGACAGTCGGGTTCCATTGGTGGTTTCTCAACAGGTGGAATCGTCGCATACCAACCTTACCGAAGTAACCAGGGTGGTATTTGTCGATGTTGGTACGGTGGTGGTGCTATCACAAGTTGTGTTAGCTCCTCAATTCGCAATTTGGCCATGTCGAGTCTCAATATTCTTGGCCTTACCTGACCACCAGCCATACCACGACCACCGGGGTGCTTCCTGTGCTTTCCTATGCGACCGTGACCGGCACTGACATGGCCACGGTGCTTGCGTGTCTTTGAGAAGCGAGTCGGCATTTTGGCGGTCCTGGGGGTGAATGCGTCGTCGTCGAGGTCTTGTCGTCGTCGTTGGCCGTGATTTCGAGAGGTTATCAATTACGCACGATAAAAAAAAGGTGTGCCGCTTGTGGGTAGGTAGGGCTGATAACGATATGGTCCGAGCTCGGTTTGGCCCGCCAGCTGGAGGCCCATACTCTCCACCTGTTGCTACTCGCCAACCATTTACACTCCAAGCCCACCATTCTGACTAATTGGGTAACAACGTTTTTGATCCAAGCCAAGTGAAAAAAAGGGCATGCAACTCAACCTCACCAATAGGCACGGAACAACAGACCGCAAGAACCAAAATATTCACCAATTTCTACATTGGTTATGCGGAATTTAGCTTATGAAAATTCAATACCAAGTGAGGCCAATAGTGCAGTATATTGAAATACTGCCCATATAGCTGCACTACTTCGTATGTGGAGGTTGGTACACAGTACCTAATTGTCTTTCTTTTTGTAAGCCATGATCGTCGGACCGCATATCACATATCACTTGAGCCACCCAGTTCTTCATAGCCGCGGATGCCTGCTTTCTAGATCTTCACGATAATGGTGGATTATGTGGGGATATTCTGCTCGCTGACTGATTTTTTCCTCATTTTTTTGCTCTTTCTTATGTGTTATCTCTTCAGACCGTAGAAAACACCAAACAATCTGGTGCATACATTTACACACTGGTACATACATTTGCACGCTGGACTAACCATGTCTTCCTCGTTCAATCGGTAAGGACAGAAATTTTGATTGCCGAGTTGAACCCAACCCGCACAGCGAAGGGTAGCTAAGCGCAACTCTTTTTTCATACCGCTCTGTTTCTGTCATGTTGCTCATAATTCAACCCACCTCCTGTTTTGTCATTTTGTGGTAGTCATCACCATTCCTGTCACGGTATATAAAAACTTTGATCATACGCACTCGTTGTTTTCGGTTCGCCTGAGAACCGACATGTATGCCAAACTTGACACTGTCGCAAGTGATATGGATCCTCGTCGAAAACTGGCTTCCAGTCGCATTCTCGTTCTCTCATGGGCCCATATACCCTTATATCCTATATGAACGTAATGTTTTCGAGGAGTTGTAGCGTCCTGCTCAGCCAAAGCCTCTTCTGTCTGTAGTAAGTGGTTCGCTCATCTGAGTGTCGTCGAGCAGGAGACGGGAAATGCCCATCTCACCAGACGGGAAGCCTCCTCCACTTTCGCCCCAATATAAGCTTGAATGTGTTGGGGCTTGCTCCCCAAGCTCCACGGCGCCGCCCAGTGATGGCCACTTTGGTATCTCATCCCGTGAGCTGGTTCTGATTAATTGTGGTTCCAGAAGAGATGTTTTGGAGAGATTTAGAGAGCCATCAATGTTCATGTTGACAGATGGCTCTAGCAGACTATTGCCTCGCCCTCCGGGTTCCCGGATTTGCATAGTCGTCTTTTCAGTGTTCACAAACTTCTCGGGATATTTGTTTCGTAGCCTGTCCCGTAAATCTGTCGGTTGTCTACTGGACAAATTGAACCTGGGGTCCCTCTGGATTTTCGTCCAATGAGGGCCATATAGTTCAAACCCTTCTAGTATCTCCCTGTCATCCTGTTCAGAAAATGGTCGTCTCTCCCTCCGTTGTGACTTCTTGAACGGTCCTTTGATACCAAGCTCTGCCAGATCTTCCAATTTCTTTCGGTGTGCTCTGCTTTTGCGTTGTTTTGGTGCTGAATCCAAATCGTTTTGTGCCGGCCAGTCCTTGTCGACCTCAACTTCCTCTTCTGTGTCATTCAATATGTTCTCTGACATGATCCCCTTCTTGGGCTTCTTTTCGTTTCTATGTGTTGGTTGTGGCTCCAGCCCATCACCTTTGATACCAGTGCTGTTACGTAGCTCCTCGGGACAGCAGGTGCGAAATCGGTCTTTAAGGTCACCAGCTGTCCGATCATTGAACTTATAGCCCGGGTCTTCGAGAATATCTGTCCATCTACCAACCCCATGCTTGCTGACACCTAGCAGTAAATGGTTGGTTTCTTCTTCAGACCACTTCCGACGTGGCTTTGCTGCTCTCCGCTTGACTTTCCCTGAAGGTGTTCGATCGGCATCTGGAGGGGGGCTTGGAGCGGTATTTTCTTCGGGAACGCCCGTGACTTCAACTGGTTTTGTGAGATTCAGAGCCTGTTGAGGCTCAGAGCGTTGATGGGGTTCAAAAGATCCGGATGACATAGGCGGAAAAAGCGCGGGATCCGAGGGCGGCTCGAGCAGGCCAACTATTATGGGGGGAAACATGTGGGCAGTCGCTTTCTGTTTCTTGAGTGGCTGTGGCAATTGAGGAAAATCTTCCTTAACCGGCCGCTTCTTGGTTGAGACATCTTCCACAATGTCGGCCGGTATATCCTCCAGTATCATGCGCAGATCTTGAGACGAGACATGGGTGGAGAATGGGCGGTCAGTCGTGGAGTAGGTCGGAACCTCTTTTCTTGACGAGGCTGTGAGGGTCTCTTCGGTGATAGAATACAGCGGTGGTATCGACTGTGAGGCTAGGGGCCCTCCAGCGGCATCGAGCTTGTCAGACCTCTGGCCAGCACCGGGTTCGATGGGATGGGGGCGGGAGGAGTTTTGAGGGTAGTTGAGGTTCTTGATGGGCGGGAGCTCGGCATTGTAGGGCTTCGGAGTGGTGGTTGACTCGTTTAGAAGGTGGATCAATCGCGGCTCAATTGTGGCCATGCTGAACGAACAGGAGGTCGAAAGAGGCGAACATCAGATAGAAGAATAGACTTAACGGGTATTCAAGCGAGAGAATAGAATCAGATCAAAAAAAAGGGTGGATGAAATGAACAAGACAGAGAGGGTCGAGCCGAGCTGAGTGCCGACGCAACTCACTCAAGACGACATCGAGGCGGGTACGGTCTGAAGAACAATTCTAAACAGTGTAGGGACAACCTTGGAAGTAGTCAGGGTCAATATAGACAAGTAATGAGGCTATTCAGGCTACCTAGAGAACAACAGTTGACCGGTATGACAGTAGTCGTAGCAACAGCGGTAGACGGTGGTAGAAGCGGAGAGCGGCTCGCAGGTTGGTTTTAAGTCCAAGCAGGCAGACAATCGCGATAGGATGAATCGAATCTTGTCTTCTCTGAGACGGTAGAGACGGTACAGACAGTACAAACAATACAGACAATACAGACAGTACCGACAGAAGAGAAACAAACAATGCTCTGCTTGTTTGTTGGCCCCTGCTCTCCTGTTGCTCTGCTTCTGCGCTGCTCTGCTTTCCTCGCTAGATGCAGGAGGAGCTGCAGCAGCGAAGTGCAATGGTACCTACCTAGGCCATGCGGAAGTTAGGGCCATGCAGAAGGATGGTTTAGTCAAGGTGGTACAAGCAATAGAGAGGAAGATGTAGGGAGCAAGTAGTACCGTACCATTAAGGTGTGAGAAGGTGGTAGTAGAGGTAGGTAGGTAGTAGGTAGGGAAAGGTTTGCTGGAGCCAATTGATGAGAACCAACTGATCAACTACCCAGGCTCGCCAGGTACACACTATCTATCTCGCGCGCTCAGTTCATGGCGTTGCGGAGTCACGGCAAGACAGGGCGACGGCACGACGATACAATCAAAGTACAACACTCACTCGTATTGAATGAAGGAGAGTAAGTAAGAAAGAAGTGAATGCTGTTACTTGCCTGTTGTCAACGTTAGTACTACTGTGTATTAGGAGGTAGGAGGTATGTAGGTATCTCTGGATGGAGATAGTGGGTGAATGATAGGTAGGTAGGTACAAGTGTCGGTTGAGCCTCTGGGGTTACACAAGATTGATTGGCATAACGGTTCGAATCCAATGTCTAGTACATGCAGGACAATCATAGATGCCATATGATCGAGGTAGGTAGGTATCTATCTCGTCTATCCCTCTTACCTGGTTAGCGGGTGGGAGAGGATGATGAACTACTTACCTAGGTAAGTAGGTAACAGGTATCCGCCCTGCCTCGCCTGCCGGCCAATGCAAGCAGGTGGGTAGGTAGGTACTTATCTGATAACTTGGAATGGATGATCATGTAATACCTAAGAATGATGGTGGTATATGTCTTGTTAAAACGGGAACTATAAGCGAGTATTAGCAGAAGTACTGTAGGTAGAGAGAGGTAGGTAAATAGGTAGGATACCCGAAGAACGCCAGCCTGTATGCTTAATTAATTAATTAATTAATTAATTACTACCTACCTTAGTGTGTTAGTATCATGGTATCATTACACCAACCTATGTACGTCTTCTCTCTCCCTCCTTACATATTCATAGGTAGTACCAATCTTCTGCCTTGCATACTTACTAACCTCCCTCCTCCTGCTACTACTACGTAGATATACCTAAGGTACGTTGGTAGATAGTGGTGATAGTGGTGGCAGTGGTGGTAGTCGGGTAGATGGTGCAGTGGTAGCCGAAGCATGATGCTTGTTCCAAACCCCCAATCCCAGCTCCCAGTTCCATCCATATATGCTCGTGGTTGTCCTGTTGGTCCAAGTCGTCTGTTGGTTGGAGAGAGAGATGATGCAGATGCAGATGCAGATGCGCCATACAACAGTACGCAACAGGCGTTGGTGAGGGCAGAGTGAAGGGTCGGGTCCAGAAGAGAGCCCCCCAACCCTCCCACAACCCGTCCGTCTTATTCGCCCCTATATAATGTGACGGTGCAACGTCGGCCCTTACCGGTAACAGCCACCGAGCCAATGGAATCCCCTCTGCCTGAGACATTCCAAGACAAGACCCAAGATGTGAACCCAGCAGTCGATCACCACCACCACCAACCAACCCAAGGAGCGGAGCCCGCATTACATCGAGAACTGCCTTACCTCCGCTACGCTACATTAACACACCTAACAGACTGCATGCATTGGTGTGTGTGTGTCTAGGCAGACATAGAGTCGCATACCCATCCTTGCTAGACGGGAAACGGGAGCGCTCTACAGACGCGGCTACTGGCACCGTCAGCCCATCTCAACATCCCATCGTGATCTTGGACACAGTCTGGACACAAGATATCTGCGCCTAGCTTCATGTAGGTCAATCGGTACCTATAACGGCACCGCGACCTGTCATCTGCCGCTTTCTCCTTCATCTGATATCTTACTTGTCAGTCGTTCGACTTACACACTAACCTCATCTGAGTAGCTAGGTAGCCTACTGATATATATATTCACACACCCAAAGATACACGTCCACAGGGAAGGAGAAAGGAAAGCAATGGCCTCTCAGCTGCCTTCGTTCCCGCGAACCATATTCACCATCGTCGAGCCCATCTCCCTGTACGTCATTTCCTATCCCTCTTTTCTCACTAACTACTAATACACACCACCGCATGGCTAACACGGTTAGGGTTGCGGGCTTTCTCGGACCTCTGGTGGACGTAGATTGGTTCATAGCAAGCCAAATCGATGACGGGGCCGCTGCTGCCTCGCCATCAGTCTCATCCGACAACGCGCGTCTGGTCGCCCTTCAACTCGGGAACGCCTACGGCCTCCTGTTCATGGTGGGCGTCGCCGTGCTATACACCACGAACGAGTTGAGGGTTGTGCGGAACTACCTGGTTGCTTTGCTGTAAGTTGTCTGCAATTCACATGAACGTCTCGTTTTTATCTCTCCCATTCAATTGAACGAGCTCCTACCAACTCGACCTGTCTCTGACTATGAGCAGAATTGCCGATATTACTCACGTTGGACTCACCTGCTGGGGCCTGGGCTACGAAAGGGCTATTGATGTAGCTGGCTGGAATGCCGTGACATGGGGTAATGTTGGCTTTACGGCTCTTCTAGGTCTAACTCGAACGGCATATCTGCTTGGTCTGTTCGGGCCTGACAAACCCGTATCTGCCGCAAAGAAGGAACTTTAGCTTGGCTTGGTTTGGAATTGTGACTATCGTCTCCTTGCAAGCGTCGCCACAAGATACTCAAGGGCCCCCTTTACCCTATGTTAAGCAATCACTTGTAAATATACCCATGAGTTTGTCCGTCGACACGCAATATGAAACATGTTTCGTTCTCAAAATGGGACAAAGCCGAGAAGTACTTATTCTTGCTCTACATGTCAAGCCTAGCCTCGCATTTTCGTTCCAATTCTTTCTCTCTTTATTTTTTAGCTGTGCCGCAACAGAGGCATAGCTCGAGGTATACTATTTTACACAAAAGCTGTCGCATAACACACCAACGTTATAATGGGATACTGCGAAAGCATGGAAGAACCAACTGTGTTCGCCCTGCCCCATTTCCCATCCTGTCCTTTGCTTGCCTGACCAAGGTAGTGAAAAGCGAAACGCCGTTTTCAGTTCATTAGATGGAAAAAATTCTTCTTAGTTATGTCAAGTCGTCGTCAGGCGTATTCAGTGACAGGTGACCACTACTCGCCTCGAGGTCGTTTAGCGCCGTGAGGATTCTGCCAATCCGTCTGCTGGTTGGCCCCAAAGAAGGCCGGGTTGAAATGAGGCTGTTGAAAGTTCATCATGGGCATGCCCATGCTTCCCATGCCGCCCATCATGCCATTATTCATGCCGTTGTTCATGCCCGCGCCGACACCTGGGTTCATGCCGGGACCCATACCACCACCACCACCTCGTCCACCGCGCATGCCTCCTCGCATGCCTCCACCCATATTCCCACCCATCATACCCCCGCGGAAGAAATTACCCCCATTACCACCAGGCATGCCGCCGAAGCCGAAGTTGCCTCCGGCGCCCATGTTGTTTCCAAAGCCACCACCTCCTCCTCCACCCATATTGTTATTATTGTGGAAGCCGCCTCCGCCGCCGCCACCACCGCCCATGTTACCCCCTCCAAAGTTTCGGTTGAAACCACCACGAGGACCGTTGAAATTACCACGACCTCGGAAATTACCACCGCCACGGTCATTATAGCTACCACTGGCACCGCCTCGTGAAACTGAGTTATCTTTGCCTCGCGCTGGGGCGTCCTTTGGTAATGTGCGGAACGGGTTGGTGGTTGGGCTAGCATATATTACATTATGCTTTTTCCCTCCGGGCTGTGCTCCCTCGGTGCCTGAGGATTCGATCTGATGTTTCGCCGCAGTAGCGGCTTGCTGGGACGAGAATTCGAGATAAGCTTGCCTGTAGTTTGCTGTTAGCATTGGTCATATTTAAGGTAGAGTAGCAGTCAATCTACGCACCCTTTGCTCTTGCCGTTTACTTTGTGTTCGCTAAATGTAATGTCCTTCAACTCATCTTCGCACGAAGCATGCGCAACCCAGCCACGAATATCATCATCCGTTGTCCACCAGTTCAGATCCGATAGTAAGAGACAATTTGTAGCACCCGGGTCGATTGGCCTATCGTCAGATTCCCCCTTCCGCTTGACACCTTGCTGGTACTGCCGAGCCGGAGCGCCATGGTCGTCTTGGCTGTCCATAGTATTCCGATCGTGGGCATCATAGCTGCCATGGTGGCTGGCACTGGTATCATTATTGACGGATTCTGGAGGATTGGAACCATTGGCGATTGTGATACTCGTATTGCTGTCGTAGGCTTGGGTATTCAAATCCTCAGCCTTGGAATCAGCATCGGCATTGGCGTCGCCATAGACGTCAATCTCGAAATCCTCGTCGGCCATTTTTTAGAGATACGGCACAACTGTATGTTATGGGGGTTCAAAGCGTGTTATGGAGTCAGAGTGATATGTGGTATCTAGCAACTGATAGTATTCAGAGTAAGATACAAAAAGTTCCTGGCGTCTTCGGTCCATCGAATCAGTCATCTAGAAAAGTACATGTAGGAAAAGTGACCCAGAGGAAGACGAGAAGAAACAAACGAAGAGGAGAAGATATCTCACAGGATATAGTACTATACGTACACGTTGAACCGGGGGACGCGCGCAAACCCCTCTCTCAGGCACTTCTGAAATTGTTGTCCAGTCCCAACGACTGCGACACCAGAACAAATCGCGGCAACAGATTGCCAGACTATTGTCTGAACGGACTTTGCATCAACAAGATTTCAAGACGAAGCTCTGTGCTCGCAATCTTGGCCAAGTCTAACTAGCTCCAAGCGAGCCAGTGTCTAATGTCCAGGTCTTGGAGCGCGAAAGGGTGATGCGAGAAATACAGGCAGATAGATCACCGAAGATGTTGTAGCTGCTTTGCGAAGAAGAGTGAAGGAAAAGAAAGAAAAAACGAAGTCCTGTGGCAGACCTAGCTGTCTGCAATACCAAGTCCAGGCTTTTTTGGATCAAACAGTCAACCCTGATATACCTGCGTAGATGCGTATGTGTAAAGCTTGTCTAGTCAGCTGAGAGTTGCTACTAGGTTTAACTAACAGCAGGTAGTTGCAAAGAAGCAGGAGTTAGGGACTCAGAACTGGATCCAGTTCAAAGAAGCTCGGGGAGAAGATGGAGATGATGCGTCGGCGCTGACAAGGCTAGGTGTCCGAGTCACTCGAGTGGGCGGGTGCTTGTTGGTGTAGAGAGGAGAAGCGGCGAATGACAAGCAGCGTCTGGTATGAATCGCGCTATGGCGAGTATTAAGTGACAATATAGAGGAGAAGAGGAAACGCCGATGACATGATTTTTGGCACGACTGGGAAAAAGACGAAGGTTGTGACGAAGCTTGGGATTGGGCTTGGGCTTGGTTTGTCGAGGACGACACGACACGTTAAGTACAGAGGTAGGTACCTAACCTGGAAGGTAAAGAAGGTAACGAGCGAGCGCTAACCTTGGCACTGGGTTTTAATTTTAGGCTGGGATTTGGTCCCCGGCAGGCGCCGTACTTTGTACCTAGTAAGTAGACGCGCAGTAATAAGGCCACCTGAATAAGGCGTTAAACAGCACTACTTTTCTTTTTCCAGGGACCGCCGACCCGCTGTAATCGTCTTCGTCAGGTGGATTTAAAGGGGGCTAAACGGGGCACTTCTGGGTCCCTCGCGTGCAGGTGGTGGTGTGGTCTGGGATTCTGGGGATCTGGTAAAGTGCCTAGGTACTATGTAGGTACCTACCTCTAAGAACCTAGCCTCGCTACCTACATAGTAGATACCTAGGTACCTGCTAAGGCACTCGCCATGAGGCTCAACAGCCTGTGCTCCTGTGGCTTATGCATGCTGGATCTTGTATCTGCTTGTGGCACAGGCAACAATTACATACTTACTGGAGTAGAGCTGAAAGTTCCCTGGCTAGCTTGAATAGGCAGTGTCTTGGCACCCACCCAATCGCAGCAGTCAAGGTTGAGCAGGGGAAATCTGGCCGCATCTTTCTACAGTGGAACTTTTTGGAAATGTCAAGGTAGCGCGGCGGACTGGACAGCGCATCACGTTCCCTACTCCCTTAAACATCGATCACTCTCGACTTTCGCATCGAATAATCACAACCACATCTTTGTGTCTCTCTCACCATCGCTCATACCTCTGATACCAACACTCATATTGACACAAAATGGCCGACGTTATAACAGACTTCATTGATGTCCAGAAGGACTTCATCAAGGACGGCACACAGTTCATCAACCGGTGCACCAAGCCCGACCGCAACGAATACATCAAGATCTGCCAGGCTGTCGGTGTTGGCTTTGTGGTATGCTCGAAACATCAGGCCCACTCCTTGCGGCATGAACGAGGCTGGACTGACATGCGGATTTAGGTCATGGGCGCCATTGGCTACCTTGTCAAGCTGAGTACGTGTTTCGACAATTTCCTGGCTACCTCGAGACAGCTACTGACCTGATTACGTTTAGTCCACATCCCCGTCAACAATGTCCTAGTAGGGGGCGCTTAATTCGAACGAGAGTACGAGAAGAGGTTAGATGTAGAAGATACCAAGAGCGCTGGTCTTCAACTGCATGGACGGGAAGGAGACAGTGGAGGAACAACGACACCATAATTACCCCCAACTCGCTACCGATATCGACTGATAGCCATCCCATGGTGAGATGAGTTGCCCAATGACGACAACCAAAACGTGGGCCAGAACATGGTGAACTTGCCGCATGGCCCGTAGCTGAGATCAGGATCAGGAATGGTGTTCTAGGACAAAGTGGTTTGGTTGGTCATTGCGAAGTGCGGTCTCCTGCTATTCTTGTCTTTACTATGTCATTGTACAAAATTGCATCGTGTGCGACTCATAGCTGGGTGTTACAAAAAGCAATGAAATATAATTCGGATATTGATTTAGCTACATGCCTGTCCACCAACCAACTCCTTTGCGCTCGTTATGTTGCTTACCGGTATGCTTCGCATACATCATATGTCGACGGACTCTTACGCGAGGCAAGCTCCAAATGCTAAAATGCAGAACACCCAATGTGCTTTTAGTCACAATCATATTCCCAAACCATCACTTTCTTCCTCTTCCTCCTCGTCATCTTCTTCGTCACTGTTACCACTTACTCGCCGCAGCTTCTCATCGTACGAGGTGCCCATCTCCGGGAAGCCTTCGTCCAAGTTACCCTCATTATAACCGTGTAGTGTAACTGTACCCAATTGATGATCCCAGCCGTTCAAAGAAGATGCTAGAGGGGGGAATTACAGCGTTAGCTCTTACTGTTTGCCGCATATTTCATCTACACGAGATGACTCACCTGCTATGAATGGTGCAGTGGGATGCCAACTAGCATCTCGCACGACAGTAGTCCAGCCAGGCAAGCCCCGTCTATTGTAATACGAGCGATACCTCCTGGACAGGGACTTCTCCGCGGAAGTCGTCTTCTGCACGTCGATGACACCTGCTAGCGTGGCGTCGAGGTTCCAGATGTACACCTTGCCGTCGTGGGACCCCGAGTATACGTAGCGCGAATCGGTGCTGGTCGGCGGCGAGAAGTGGCAGCGGATCAGGGTGCGAAGTACCTTGTGCCCGCGGAACGTGACGACGGAGTTGTCATCCGGGTGCGGGAACCAGTCGTTCTCGTCGAACTTGTTCCAGCGGTAGTCGAAGTCGCTGTATGGCACATGTTGACGCGGGTTCTTCTCGATGAACTGCGCCGACGTGTACATCATCTTCAGATCCCAGAGCTTCATGCTCTGATCCTTACCGTTGCTTAGCAGGTACCGCCCGTCGTCCTTGCTGTCCATGTAAGTCAGCCCTTCGATATGGCCGACGAAGGCCCCCGCCTCACGACCATCGCCCATGCTGCGCCTGTCCCACACTTTGATCGTCGTGTCGTCACTGCCCGAGTATAGAATGTGCGGCGACGATTTGTCCGCAAAACAGACAGCGTTGACGTCGTCTTCATGGCCTTCGATGTGGTGCAGGACCCGTCGCGACTCGATATCGTATACAATGATCGAGCGAGCGTTGGTCCCGGCTACTAGCTCACGACCGTCTCCCGAAAAGCGAATAGACCATATACCAAATGAATCCCGCCACGTTCCTCGCCGCGCGCCATACTCCGATAAGCTCAGTGTGTAAGGATCACCTGTGTCGTTCGGATCTGTAGGCGCTAAGCAAACGTTGCTTTGAATAGACGTGTACGCCAACCACTTGTTGTCTGGACTCAGGGACGCATCCGTCAGGGTCCATGATCCAAATGGGAACTCGACGGTCTTGTAATGCCTCCAGTTGTACGGGTTTGACGTATCATACATTCGAACCTTGAAGTCTTTAACACAGGCGTAAAAGAAGTTTCCATCGTCGGAGAACTGGCCTGAGTAGACGTTATCATCGTAGTAGATGATCATATCCGCATCCGTGCGAGGGATCATGGACTATTTTGTATCAGTAAGGAGGATTGCCCAGGTATCACGTAATATCAAGAGGAATTACCTGTGCTATCACACCTTGGTTCACCCCCCGGTATGATCTATCACCTATACCAAGTTCACGGTCGAGTATACGTCTTGCCAGCTGCTTCTTCTTTCTCAAGGGCGATGAGATATCATTAGCCCCAAAGGTACCAGAGTTCATCAGCTCTCTTCCCTTGTCGCTCGGAACTTTGGGAAACCGGTTTGGATCCAGCTGTCGGCGTCTCCTTAGCCTATGGCCCCAGTTGTCGAAGTCACCATCATCGTCATTTCCATCGCTATTCAGTATGATGCCCAAGTTGCGGCCTCGTAGGAGATTTAGAAGCTCCCGTTGTGAGACCAGACCAGCTCGTCGACCCACGTCTGTTCAAGCCAAAGAGTTAGGATCGGTTAATCCATGGTATAGAGTAGGTAGGTAGAGACACATACTTGCTATGAGGTTAATGACTCGGCGTTCTATAGCACTTTGCTCTGCGGCTGCTTCTTCGGAGGCTTCACCGCCTTCTCCCTCATCGCCACCTTCTACCTGTACGATAAATTGTAGTCCTCCATCGTCCGCATCTACCACCATTGGCATTAGTATGTCATTAATATCAAGATGTTTCGTAGTAATGGATAGATACCGTGGAACTCGTCATCTTCGTCAAAAAGATCATGGTTCATATCGTCCTCATCTTGTTCATCATCCTCATCCTCCTCCTCATCGTTATCATCGTTGTAGTCGGCGTCTTCATCTTCGTCCTCATCATGTTCTTCAGCATCGAAATAGGGGTCTGTATGCTGGTCATCCAGCTCCTCTGACTGTGATCTTGAGCTACTCATAATGTTGGCAGTTGTTACGGTATGCTCCGGTAGTACCGGGGGTTGGTCTCCGCACTGATAAGAGCTCCAATGCAGTGAGTAGGTAGGTAAGCTCCGGAGTTGCCAATTCAAATTGGCCAGTTGATGAAATGGTAAATTCGGAGCTCTGCAAATCACGTTAAATCACTATTTACGAGGCGCCTTTTAGAAGCACTTGATAAGAAAGAACGAAGTCGAATAGTTACGGATAAATGGGAGGTCAGATACATGACGCCACTAGCATCCCGGGGAGCACCCAACTACATTGTAGTACTGCTCATTGTACCGGTGGGGAAGCGACCGGCGATTCCACTTTACCGCTACTAATCAATGGATGAGGTTCGTCGGTGTTATCGCGGACTTAAGCATTTACATTCCCTGTTATGGCCATCATGTCCCAGACCTAGGTACATATATATACATACTTGCTACTGTACATATACAATACTGAATCTACCTACACGAGTACATACTAGAGGTAAGTAGGTAGTTTACCTCAGCATTGTATGCGTAAAGGGATGCGCGGACATGGGGTAAATCAATAACGAAATAATCGAGAGATGGGAGCACACACACCATCGTTGGCGCGTAGAGATCACCTGCATACCTAGTGTGATGTTTCGTAGCACGGCATTCAGTCACCCTCACCCGAGCTGTCAAGAAAAGTGGTCATGCAAGTAAATCAACCGTATCACTTTACGAATACACAGCAGCTGTCTAGCATACATCTACATAGCACTTCTAATAATACCTACCTGCTTTGGTTGATAAGCACCTCTTTACGATGTCGAAAGGTATTTAAGTATCCATTTTATGGTCAACGAAACTATTCTGAAACACAAATCAATATCTGGGGATGTTTCGGGGATGTTTAACAGCGCTAGAGCAGACCAGGGGCAGACCAGGGGAAACGGCCATGGTCCCGGACAGGACGAGCCGGGTCGGAGTGGAGAATTCTGCTCCCCCAGCCGCCGATCCAGCGCCCCGTCCAGCGGAACACAGCATACCTACCCTTGCTTTTACGTCATCTCATTGCACCTCCCTCTCTCTCTCTCTCTCTCTCTCTCTCTCTTCCTAATATCACAGCTTTTTCTAATCCGCGATTTCATATTATATATACTCGTCACATCTCCAAAAACATTCCATGTATAATTCTTTCAGTTTGAAGAGAGTCTCTGTGCCTATAGCCTGAATACGAACATTTACGCGGTAACTTTCTATCGAAACCCTTTCTAATACCTTGGAGCTAAGAAGGACAAGGCTACAAGGAACACGAAGCTGGGGAGGGAGAAAGTCGAAGGAAACAAGAGTTGTGAGAAGGGAAAAAGATAAATCATGGTTGATTATATCCCGGACTTCATAGATTGGGCAGAAAAGCGAGGCATCAAACTAAATGGTATCGAACCACAGCGCATACCAGGACGCGGTATAGGGGTCATGGCGACACGAGATATCCAGGTAAGATCAAACCCACGCCCTCCCGCTCATTCATTTGGGTGCCTGAATGCCAGACTGGTCCAAGCACCCAGTGACTAACTAAGCCCCGATCAAAGCCCGACGAGATCATCCTCGAGGTACCAACAAAATGTATACGGACAATTACCACGATGCCCAAAGCGCGGCTCCGCAAATGTACCGAAACAAGCGTGTCGGTGCATGGAGCTTTAGCAGCCGACCTAACGCTCGACAAGAGCAGCAAGTACGAACCGTGGAACGCCATCGTGCCGCACTCAGGCGATCTCAACGGCATGCCTTTCTACTGGCCGCCCGAGCTGCAGGCGCTACTCCCGCTGCACAGCCGGCAGCTCCTCGCCAAGCAGAGGGCGAAGCTCGAGCGGGACTGGTCGCAGATGTTCACGGCGTTCCCGGAGCTGCACGTCGAAGACGAAGGAGACATCGGCCGGTGGGAATATGAGCAGAACTGGCTCCTCGTCAACTCGCGGACGTTTTACTACGTCAACGCGGCGCTGAAGAAGTGGCGCGGATCTACCAAGGATGACCACATGGCATTGCAGCCTGCGGCCGACTTGTTCAACCATGCTGATGAGGGGGGATGCCATGTGGCGTTTGGCACCGAGGGGTTCACGTTCCGTGCTACGAGGCCGCATAAAAAGGGTGAAGAGGTATATATTTGCTATGGAAACCACGGTGGCGATTTTCTCCTGGTCGAATATGGATTCGTCATGGCGGAGAATTGTTGGGACGAGACCCTGCTGGACGACATCGTGCTCGCGAAACTAGATCAGAAGCAAAAGGAACGTCTTGAGGAAATCGGGTTTCTGGGGGGCTACGTCCTGGATCGCAATACGGTTTGTCATCGGACGCAGGTTGCGTTGCGGCTGTTGTGTTGCAAGGTTGGCGAGTGGATGCGGTTCGTTAATGGAAATGACGATGGCGAGGCGAGTCAGGATGCTGTTGACGTGCTGCTGTTGGGGCTGTTGAGAGAATACGCTGCGAGGATAGACGATATAGTGGCGCGGATCCCGATGCTGGAAAATGCAAAAAAGCCCGAAGACGATATGGATGATATGAAGGACATACTGGTGCAGAGGTGGAGGCAGATTCGAAATTTGCTTGATAGGAGGATAAGGAGCCTAGAGCAAGGAGCTCAGACGTGACAGTGGACATCGCCGCTTGCTATATTATATCAGAGTTATTAGTCGCCAGAGATATGATGGTGTAAGACAGTGTTGAGTAGACAAGATCCCCGGACATCGCGAATGTACAGCTAGGCGACAATGAAAGACATGCATCGTCGTACAGAAATCATAACATGTTTTGTAGGTAATTACTCTTCTCAGAATACCATTTTCCGGAACGCCAAACCCCTTCGTAGCCCATCCGAACACACGTTATATGCAGAAATGATATTGGTACAATGTCTGAACGATGATAGCCGGAAGGTCTATAACACGGGATTGTTGGTCAACTTTGACTTTCCCGTGCCCTCTAACCCCCCAGCGCCCTCTAGCAATCCGGCCTCCCTCCTCATCGCTTTCTCTCTTTCCTTCGCCTCCTCCGCATTTTGGAAATCTTGCCGTAGGCTTTCTTCTCTGAGCTTTCGCGCGGCTTCTTCTTGTACCGTCCATACTATTAATTACACAATTGCAATGATTAGCCAAGAATTCAGCGCATAGCGTACGTCATCATCGTGTTCGCGACCTCCGGGAAAGTCACCAAGTTGTAGCTCGCTGGACGCAAGGGAGAGGTAGGTAGATCGATGGTGTGGGGGAATCCAACGTACTCGGCTTGTCAGACTTGGAATACTCCTTCAACCTGACGACGAAGTCGTCGAAGTCTTTTTGCTTCTCGTAACGCCGCTCGAGGCTCTTCTTTTGCAGGTCGGGGTTGTACTTCTTGAAGAGCTCCTCGTCTGTCGGCTGCACCCACATGACAAAGGCCGGACCACCGACACAGACTGCGCCGCCGCTGTTGCGATAGCCACCCCGGGGAAATGTCAGTCTCGTCTCGTCGATCTTTTACGGTTTGGCTGCCGCGATGCGGGGACTAATTATAGTGGTTCCGCGGCGGATTGGGGAGAATGCTTACACGGCTAACATCTTGAGCCATGTGCCTAGCCGTGAGGATTTAGCTGCCATTTTTTATGCGCAATATCGTGTTTGGCAGGGCGATGTGGTGGTTGTACGTGGTGCAATTGTTCTTGCCAATGTTGCTGGAGCAGGTGATGAGATCAGATTGAGCCTATCGCAAGCTTGGGATTAGATACGTGAATGTCAATGACGAAAGTTCAGGGTCCTCTTTGACTCCACATTGTGGCTGGTAGTCTCACATGTGGCTAATGAGATCCTAGGTACCTACCTCCTACCTAAGCACTTAGGTAGGTACCCCCCACGGGCTCCACCCCCGCAGGTACAAAGCTTAGCACAACTGTCTGAGAGCTGAACTGAACTTCAAATCTCATAATGTGTAGAATCATTTTATTCTTTTTCTAAACATTGCTATATCGTGATATCACATACTAATACTATTAGATACAGGTACAACCGGACATGGAGGTCACCTTGTCGTTAGGTTTGGCTTAAAGCATAAACATGCAGGATACCATTGTCAGCGTCGCGATCAGCCAGTTGCCAGATAGACGCATTCCGCTCGATATCTCATCGCCAGCCGGTATCTTGCTCCCTGGTGCAGCATCTACCGCGCGTACACACGACAATGTCGTCAAGCCCTTCTCAGGCACCTCGCCACTGACTTCATTGCTCCTCCCAAAGCTGGCAATCACAGGCCAAGCCACGCTACCGAGGTCGTTGTATATGGTCTCGTTACCCTTCTGATACCCCTCCAGGCTTCCGAATGCTTCCCAGGCTGTCTTGCTGTTGTTAAATTCCCGGATGCGCTTGGCATCAAACGTCTTTGCGTAGCACGAGTTGTTGAATACGCTAGCAGCATCCTCAATCTTACTGCACGACGGGATCTCAGAAATCTTGGGGCAGGCGCATTGTTCGTCTGCTGAGTTTATGCTGTCGTCTACACTCTTCTTGATATCGGCAACGCACTCGTCCGACAGAATGCTACTACAAGTCCCGTCATCGCTTCGTAGCTTCTTCGGATACGGATTATTACTCAGGTCCCAACCGAAGAGGCACATGCGCCAACTGTCATCAACAATGACATTGCCATTGGAGTCGACAAGGGATGAGGGCACATTTAAGTTAATCTGGCCAGCAGTGAAGTAGGTATCGTTGGGGGTGGATGACGACCGGGCGGGCACAGGTAATTCAGCCAGAGTAATGGACCATGACCAGCCGTCTAACGTACTGGTAGGGGAGAAGGTGTCCGAGATATTTGGACCAGCGATGGCATAAGTCCCCGTCGCATTGGTGCTGTTGGCCAGAGAAGCCTCAAACTCGGTGAGGTTTCCCTGGCCAGGTAGCGGTAATTCGCCAACTGAGCCAAATGTTGAGATTGCGCCATCCACCCGTGCTTCCAATGCGAGCACGCTGGTTATGCCGCCTATGCTGACTAAGGTGTAAAGAAGGGAGTGCATTGTGTAAAAGCCGCTATAACTCTCAGCCATCGTCGTGACTAACGCTAGGTGAAGAGCATGCAAGTCCAGGTGTGGGTAGCTTAGATGGGTAGAGCAAACTGAACTAATAAGAGGTTGGACACAAGTGCGTATCTATGTCGTTGTCTGAGGACTAAGATGTAGTTGGGATTCAGTATTTGCCGTGAATGCGAGTTCGCGCTCAGTTAATTATAGTAGAGAGCACGCACGAAAAAGGATGTCCAGAAATATCATGTCAACACTAGGGTACGTCAGAGATTCAGATCAACATGGCTGAAGGTGCAATCCGAGGCAACCTTGGCAATTGTGACGTCGTGCAGCCAATATAAGCACGTTGTTGGTTTCAATTGCAGCCTCGCCGCACACTAATACACCTAGCCAATGCATGAGATGTCTTGGCTACTCGAACAAAACCAACAGTCAACCCTTTCTAGGAGTCCTTCATGCACATGACCTCATCGAGATCAACTCATGCTTGTGACAACTTGCTACCTGTCTTTTTATTTTATTTTTTTGTTTTTATTTTTTTTCCGAAGTGTATCCTGAGATATTGGTTCCACCCAAACAAAACCGTCACCGCTTCAATTACGAGATGCTTGAGTCCTACAGTTATTCTTCACTTTCAAATTGGAAACAGCCATTTCTTAGTAGACAACACACACATCGTGTCAATAAAGTTGATTTAATCGTCGTGTTTTATCAAATTGTACGGAATTTTAAACAGGTTCAAATTTTTGGCAGCGTTCAAAGAATATCATTGGTCTCTAAAGTCCATCTACCTGCATCTAACTTACGACATGTATTCCGCCTCCACCCATATGATGACATACCCCGTCCTCCCAAGCTACTTGGAATGCTAATTACTTGGGTAGGATTCTGGCTCCTTCGATGACGGTCTGCAAATGATTTGAATTGAGATCAGCGTCCGATGAATAGGAGTAGAGCTAGTCAGCGGCGAGGAAGGAGAAGCTTACATCTTTGGGAATGACCTTGCAACCATCCGTTTCGAAATCGGTGATAACATGCATGCAGTTCGTATCCGTGAAAAGTGTGACCTTCATATTGTCTGCCGCGATGTTCGTAGCTACAACGTTGTGCGCTGCGTTGGCAGGTATGCACCACAACTCGTCGTCCGGTTCCCCAGCTGTCAAAGCTACCGAGTCTCCAATATCACCCTCGGTTGGACAGCCGGTTTCATAGAACCGTAATGACCTATATTCATTTATCAGCACTCAGGCTGGTATTTCCTAAGGTGAGTGGTCTTTACCAGCTCGCCGCAGCTGGCTTGAGCATGTAGATGGTAGCGATGGTTGCGAGGGTTGTGAAGCGCATCTTGAGTCTGGCCAATTGACTATCTATTCTAGTCTTCGTAGCAAGTGGTAATTGTAAAATAGAGGTTGAGATAGGCTCGTGTGAATGTCTTTTTGTGTAGGGTCACTAATAGTTTGAAGTCCTCGGCTGACGTCTGTTATATACACAATCCAGATCTCAGGCTTCTTACATCCAGCTATTAATATCATCGATATCTGTTGGCACTTAGCTTCGGATATCTAGCTCAAGAATAACGACATGTGAATATCCTAGTCATATCCTATCTTTCAAGCGAAAACTTGAAGTCATGACGCAATGTGCGGCGCGTAACATCCCGTGCCACCGTGAAGCGCCTGTGCCACGATGCAGGTGAAATAGCTTCGAGTGTGAAGAGCAATGATCCCATAGAGGATAATATGGAGGGGTCTTTTGCATGTTGGCGGTTTCATGCATTGGTGGGAATTGGATGAGCTAAAGAAGACTTCAATGAAATTAGCTGAAGAGGTTCATGCATTGTGAGTCTGATTATAACAACAGGCGAAGTTCCGCATTAGATAATCACCTCGATGTACCCCGACGTATGTAGAGGAGTGTTTAAAAAACATATTACATTTAGGTGGGATACGGAGTGATTGAACTAACCCCTGGAGATCGTAAAAATATTAAAAGCAAAGCTATATCGGGGAGTGTTTTTGTTGAATATTCAGTGCTGGGTTGAACGTACTGGAGGTCATTGTATAACGTCATCCAACACGGCTGAATAGATCTTATGAATATACCCTCACCATTAATTGTGATTAAAGAGGAGCGGTTTAGAAGCAATGGAAGTACAGCACGGTGAATCGTACGAGTTTTGCTACCCACAACTCGCGTTCGAATCGTTGTATAAGGAGCTGAGCTGAAGACAGGCGAATATATGTAGATCTACGCTACATTTACACGTGGTTCAATATACTCCACACCATGCGTCTCGCTGCGTGGATTGATCGACACTGTACTCCTGGGTGTTGGGCGAGGATAATGCAGGGCCATGAATATCATATATTAAATAATCCCGGAAGATAGTTAGAGTATGCTATGCCAGAATAGCAATCTTTTCTCCTAGCCTCCAAGGCTTGAGGTAGGTGACCTTAAGAGCCTGCACACCGTCGAATAAGCTGTTGGAAAAACACTTGCAGGTCGGAATCACCGGGACGAGGCCGTAACTCGATGCTAGCTGGCATTAAAAGAACGGTTGGATCAAGATTTCGATCGCCAGGTGATATTACCCGACAGTCTACTATCACGTCGGGGCTCGTTCTTATGACCTTTAACCCCTCTCTCGGCCTCTGCTCGACTAGAGCAGACCCGACTGGCTTGTACCTACATTATGATCATCAGTCACATGGGGATACGTTGGTTGTTGGTAGAATGCTCATGCAGGTGGACGGTTAACCTCGAGGCATCTTGCTAGCGGTCAACTCTCACCTTACGAATCTCCTAATCGCCAGTAGCTCAAAGCACATGGTGGTGTGCGTGATGATTATGAGATATGTTCTATAGTGTAAGATTTCTCATCACGATAATGTTAACTAAAAGATCTTGAACCGTTCCCAAGAAATAAGGCACAATTTCGATCGATAAAGCAAGTAGCCTTCTAGATAGTAACAACTTCACTCAATCAGATAATCAATTCAGGTCTCTGCGTATTACACATAGAATCCAAAACTCTGCTTCATTGCAACGTGTTAGGCTGTCTTGGGTGCCACCACATGAGACGCAAACCCCCTAATCTCTCGCCTCGTCATGTTGAGGCGCAGGAATCTGCCAAGTCGATCGAAATATGTGTTAGTACTGTTGTGCATACATGGTGGCGACGTTCACGAGCCTGGGTCATGATCCAAGTGGGTTTGATGGATTATACAATGAGGTATATCGTCATAGGAAGCTAATAATAACTGTTAAAGAATGTAGACAATAGATGAGGTGATGACCTCATAAAGGGATGGCGACGAGTATATAAATGTTCAAATTACCGGAGTGAACTGGAAAACTCAGCAAGCTTCATCCTATCATCATTCAACAATCATTACAATTTCCTCAAAGCCAAGTGTCCATCAAAACTCATCAAATCTTCAGCCAAGATGCCACGCCAAACCACTGCCCTGGCGGTTCTCGCCACTGCCTTGTGTGTTGTGGCCGAGGAATATACGTTCTGCACCGAAGACACCTGTGGTGATTGTCCGGTATCTATCACGACGATCGGGACAGGTTATCCAGACTGTGCGATATACAATTCTATGGACGTTTTCGGTAACCAAGGTTTCGAGCAGACGAACAAGTAGCTAACTCCAACTTTTTTTTTCTTCTTCTTTCTCGCGTATGGTATTTGAAACTGACCTCTGTTGCATGACAGAAATATCTCGGCTTTCATTGATATACCGCAGCAGGATGAATCGGCTCCTTGCTATATCATCTTTAAATCGCCGGCTGACCTCGAACAGCCGGGCTGGTAAGCCGATAGTATATTCTGCCTTGCAGTCCAGATAATTACTAACATTAGATAGTGGCTTAACTCAAAAGTACTTCCAAGATGCCACATGCGGTGACATCGTGCTGGACAATACCTTTATGGTACAGTTCTGCTGCGGCCGTGGCGACTGTGCTGCCGCAGGAATCCCAAACCAGGGCCCTGGTTCCGAATCCAGCTTGTCGATGTCGAGATCTGCCAAGTTCGGCCGCGGCATAAACGCAGGTGATCTGGAACTCTCTGCTTCAGGTGGTGGTCTGAAGAGTATGCGGATCGCTGTAAACGGCACTGAAATCAAGCCTGCTTACGTTGGTCCTCCCCGAGTGGCTTCCAACTTCACGACAGATGCCCAACCCATTTCTAAGCGTGGTGGAGTCTGTGACGGCGACTGGAGTCCTGAACCTGGTAAAGAAGACTATACCCGCCCAGCCGACGGACCGCAAATCCTGTCATCGGTTGTGGAATCGTCAGAATTCACGGTTGAAGTGACCCGAACACAAGAATGGACCACAACCATCGACGCGTCACTGGGGTTTGAGGATATCTTGTCTCTAGGCGTGGGCTTTTCCGAGTCTTTCTCCGAGTCCCTGTCTAACAGCGAGAGTTACACGTTCACCTTCCCCGAGGGAGAAAGCGGATATGTAGGATGGACATCCTATCTTCGCTGTAGTCAGGGTAAGTCATAATTCCTGCTTTACACATCATGTATCTTGATTCGACCTGCTATGGTTTCACTCAATACTCAGGGTATCTTCGAACTCTTACTTACACTCATTGCGATTCTTTAGGCACTGGTACGTGCAATGATGAGGAGGTGTCGGGCGAGGTTTGCACACCTTATCTTGATAGAAACTCTGGCAAGCTTGCTGGTAGATATATCGTTGTTCAAGAGGGATAAGAGAGCTTGGTGCCCTCAAGATGACCGAATACTCACCTTTTGGTGAACATTCAGCCATCATGTGTATTGAAGGGGTGTGGATATTCAGGGGGTGCAGTGAATGATTATGTAATCACATAATACTTTAACTTAAGAAGGAGGATGCATTTATGCATATTTTTAATGCCGTTTGGTTATAAACAATCGTGATACCTACTTTTCCTTGTGGCTGCATCTTAGGTCCACTTGGATACAAGATGGTAGCATGAGCTGACTTACCTAGCTATTTCTCTACTATTTTGACGGGCAGTTCCCAGAGATATTTTGATCCTCTACTTACTAGTTCATACCGGTCACCGAACTCACCTCAGCTAACCTGTAGGCCATTGCAGATGACCCATACCACTACTGTACATCCATCATGTTGGGCTGAGTAGGGGATTGGAAGACTAGATGAACTGAGTATATGTGTTTTTGCTTCAATCATAAGTAGCAGTCGGTAGCTTGGTCCTATCGGATCATAGCTGAATCGGTAATTCGCTACCCGAAGCCTGTGGCGTGTGATTTGATTTCACCAATGCTTAGCTTCCATCAACTAACTGCCTGCCTAAGCATTATGGAACTGGTGGACGGGATTCACGACGGCCAATTGAGCTTTGAGCTGGGTAAGCAGGAATATCTCATAGGCTGCGATAAGCGGCTAGGATTAGGTCAAGTTGTACGCAGCGCAGCGGCATGTCTCGCGCTGATACTTCTTACTCCTGATCCAAGTGTAGGCTTGCAGCAAGAATAAAATTCTTGTCCACGTTTAACAGGTTGAAGGGTAGTTTGAAATAATCAATTGAGGGGCTGTCGAGCCTTGTTGTGACCGTGCGTCGACTGTGAATCACAGTACCTACGGTACGTGTATGTGATGATCTGATAATAGGTAGCTACTGGACTAAGTACTTACCTACCCAAACTGTAGGTTATGTAGGTATAAGCGAGCGCGCCTATGTGTCTCCAACGCAGCATGATATGTGTGAAATACAGTTTGCGTGTGAGAGCATATATTCTTCGGGAGATCCAGGTATTTCAATCAAGACGGAATGATGCTTAAATAGACATCCACTGGATAATATGTACCCGATGTAAAGGTGCCGGGCTGCCTGGGGTACTTACACTAAGTAGAGACAACGGATAACTAGGGCTGACAACACCAATGAGCGTCGTGGATGGCATCGGTCCCATGTCATTCATGATACAGGGTCGTAAACAAGAGGGGACTCAGTGTTTCCGGTCCATTGTTGGACCTACCTACTTACTTATGCAACGGGGCAGTACATGGTCACATCCCGCATTGTAAGCAAGCTGTGTACATAGTAAAGCATATATGACGGCGTTTATTCGGCCCAGGCGGATTGCCGAAGTATTATTTTAGCACGTTTTAGGGTCAACAAACCACCTATGAATAGTAACAGGTACTTACTGGTACACTGCGTCTTAAATAGTCGGATTTTCGGTAAGACGGAGCCACAAACTTGTCCGGAGCTTGCTGCTGTCAACCTGTCACAGCTGAGCTGTTACTAGGTAGGTAAGTATGAAGACAGTAGGTAATAAGTATGTAAAATGGCTAGGGACAGATGCGGGTACCACTCGGAAAAGTAGGCCGTTCCAAATAACTCGTTGCAGGACTAAACACGGATGGAAAGAGTGGTAGTTGTTGTTGTTACCTACCTATTTACACTGCCATTAATATTACATATAGTATGGGATTCCGTTGGGGAGGAACATGCTTGCTACCACTCGATATCGTTTACGGGGTCGTCTATTGGCGAATAACTTTCCAGCATTGCCGCCGACCAACACACGACTACTCCGTAGGTGGGATGGTATCTAGCCGATCAAGTCGTTGTTGTCAAGGTTCGCTTTCGTTCAGCCTACATACTGTAGTACTTGCAATTCTTTCCTTCAGCCAGTAGGGATGTTTTGGAGAAATTGTAAAGGGGTCGCCAATTGAACGCTGGTTGTTTGACAGGGCTGGCGTGTGCATTGCAGGACTCGAATGTCGTACAAGTACAGGATTACAGGCGGGTAACAAGTCCATAGACCTCTGATAGACCTCTGATAGACTGGTGTTGTAGGTACATGTACATCCTGGCTAACGGCGCATCCAAGGTACGTACCCAGAAACACCATCCACCTACCTCATCTTCTTCTTTTGTCTCTCGAGTCTTTTGCCCTAGCCGCCCGTCTTTTCTCCCTCCTTTCTTCGGGGATTGACTCTCATTGATACGATATTCTTCTCTTCTCTTCTTTGTTTTCACTTCGACTACGACTTGGACATCTCTCGACGTTCCTTTCCATCACATACTGCTATTATTACTATGTACAATCGGCATTGTCCAGCCTCGAGCTCCCTCCACATCTGCGTGTGTGTGCATGCGCAACACCTAGCTTGTCCGCTCGTGTCCAGTCAATCACAGACCTGAGACGTTACAAGCATTACGTTACAAGCATTGATTGCATTCATAGCCTCAACTCGTTCTAACCACCACTCGCACCACTCACACCACTCATATACCACACTCACGGCCAAAACGCATCCCGCGCTCCCAACCCCAATCCTCCGAGGTCTGGTCACTTCCACCTTACTTCCATTTTCGGCATATTTCCCCATCGTACTTCGTTTTCCGCGCTGCTTGACGTGGCATCCCGCATTTCTACTGCTTCAACCGCTTCAGCCACTTCAACAAAGGGCTTCACTTTTCGGCTGCCATTCATTCTTTTAATAATCTTTAGTATTATTGCGACCGCGTCTTTGTGCAGACAGTATGTAACCCTGTCGGCAAGCCAATCCGAACATTACCTATACATGGTTGTTTAATACTAATCATCTTCATTCATTTACAGGCAACCTAACAGCAGCAAAGGACCTGCAATCCACGTCACTAATAAGTTCCAAGCCCAAGCGCGTCTCGAACTGCCTGCAGCCTGACCTCCAACCGAACCCACCGCGCTTCCTCCCACAGGCTTATCGAAACTGACGATCATTATTACGCCGAAAATCCCGGGTACCAACAAGACCGGTGTCCGGTACACTAGACTCGCTATTCCTAGCTAATATCGTATTTTCGTCCCGAACTGGTCTTCACGCAGTGTCTCTAAGCACCCCACTTCTTACTTTCGACATTGTCGAGGGTATACTGTCGCCTACAGCAAATTGGTTTTAGTTTCTATACGAAATCGATGGCTTGTTCATAATACTAGCGAAGCCTAGTTTGCGCCGAGTAAGATCGTGAAGACGACCCGAAAATCGTGGGAGGTTTCAAGTCGTATTCACTCTTGGACGTCGTTGATCGCTGTCCTGTGTGCTGCGCAACTATACAAAACCGCGTTTTGTCGCCAACGTATTACAGCTTTCATCTGACCCGATGGCATACGACGATAGATACGCAGACAGACCTTACAATGGTCCGGCTGCGCGAGTCCCTCGTGGAGGCCCTGGAGGCGCATATCCACCGCCACAGAGACAGTACGATGGATATGAAGATGATTATGGCTATGGAGGTTATGAACAATATGATGATGGGTATGGTCAAGATTACGGTCCGCCTCCCCAAGACATGAACTATGGAAGAGGTGGTCCACCACCTAATCAGAACTGGCAGCAACAGGATATGTATAGGGGACCACCCGGGCCAGGAAGAGGTGGTCGTCCACCACCAACAAGAGGCAGAGGTGGCCCGATGCGTGGTGGACCTATGCCCCGAGGAGGTGGACCACCGTCTGGTCCAGGTAGAGGATATCCACCTCCAGGACCGCCTAATCGAAGCAATACTATGGACTTTAATGGTAAGCCGATGAAAGAACAAGCATGTTTTGCCTCGATAGTAACGGTCTATAGGAAACCGACCGGGCCCTCCTATGATGAGTCCTCAGGAGCGAGATTTTGGCAGTCCTTTCCCCGTGTTTCCTGGCCACGCCCGACAGACAGATCGAGATCATGAAAACCGGATACTTGACAGAATGGCTGGGCTAGATATAAATGGAAAACCACCTCCAAATAGAGGTCCAGGGCCTGGTCCCACACAACACTCCTCGATGGATGACTATGGGCGCCCCTCAATGGACAGTCAGCGAAGCGGTGGGCGAGGATATCCACCTCAGGGCTATCCCGACCCAAGAAGGGGGCCACCTCCACCCCAAAATGGCGGTTATGGTGATTATCATGATGATGGTTATGGTCCTCCAATGTCACCTGTGCGAAATGAATTTGGCCCACCATCCCGAGCCATGACGATGCCTACGCAAAACGAATATCCAATGCGCAATGCTATGCCCCCTCCGCGGACGGACAGCGCTAATTATAATGGACAGCCTGTACAGCAGATGCCCCCACAGCGGCCATCTACGTCGCACAGCTCTCGACCTACTCCTCACAGGGTATATCCAGATGAAGCTCCTCCTTTACCGACGAACAATACCGCTCTACAACCTCCTGGTTGGAATGATGAACCTGATCGAGGTTCGATAGGAGATTTCTACGATTCCTACTATGACCAGAGAGCAAGTAGTGATTCATATCCACCCGAGCACCAGCGAGACCGCGTGCCCGATTTTGAAGCACCACCACCTCCGGGTCAGGGCCGAGGCCCACGGGGCTCATTTGATCAGCAAATGCGAGTTCCTCCACCTCAAGTCGGTACACCTCAACCGGGACCCGCCCGTTATCCCGAGATGTCCCGGACCAAGTCTCAGCCCAATTTACGCGAGCCTCAATCTGCAGTGTTCGAAATGGCAAATGATCATCCTCCCCTGCCCCCTGGGCCTCCTGGTGGGTTTCAGGCATATAAGCCTGGTTTACCTAGTAACCCTTCAGCTTCAAGATCGGTTTCTCAGGCTAGTCCACCCAGTAGTCGACCTGAGTCTGGACAGTCGGCACCACCGGCACCCATTCGTCCTGGTTTAATGCCGAATTCTATGGTGAATATGAACGATAAGCCTGCCCCAGTTCGAAACTATAATGGTGGTACGCCAGCTGCGGCTGCTGGTGCTCTTGGGCGTCCTTCACCAACGCCCCAGGCCGCTCCCCAGAACATACCACAGAATACGAGACCGCAATCACTTAGTGAACAACCACCAGTTACTATTGATGAGCTGGAGCGTCTGCGTGCTATCATCAAGAATGACCCCAATGATCAACAATCCGCGCTTACCTTATCTAAGAAATTGATAGAAGCAGCAGATGTCCTTGTACCCCGGCTTCCTGATCCGAAGTCGAGGGCTAGAGCTCGCGAACGCTATATCATGGATTCACATAAGATCTTGAAGAAATTAGTAGCTGCGCAAAATCTTGAGGCCATGTTCTTTTTAGCCGACTGCATGGGTCGAGGTACTCTAGGTCATGAACCCGACCCGAAGGAGGCATTTACACTTTATCAATCTGCAGCGAAGCTGGGCCATGCTGCCGCCGCTTACCGTACAGCTGTCTGCTGTGAACTGGGTAACGATGATGGAGGAGGTACACGCAAGGACCCTTTGAAAGCAATCCAATGGTATAAACGTGCGGCTACTTTAGGTGATACGCCAGCAATGTATAAAGTCGGCATGATTCTTCTAAAAGGTCTACTCGGTCAGCAAAAGAACCCGCGTGAAGCGATCGGTTGGCTCAAGCGAGCGGCCGAGAGAGCCGATGCTGAGAATCCACATGCTCTACACGAACTTGGTCTTTTATACGAATCAGCTCAACCTAACGATGTGATTATTCGGGATGAAGCATATGCATTACAACTATTCGAGCAAGCTGCTCACCTTGGCTACAAGTTTAGTCAGTTTCGTTTGGGATGTGTCTACGAGTATGGATCCATGGGCTGTCCCATCGACCCTAGACAGTCGATCATGTGGTATAGCCGCGCTGCGACACAAGGGGAACATCAATCCGAGCTGGCCCTTAGTGGCTGGTACCTGACGGGAAGTGATGGAGTCTTACAACAGAGCGACACAGAAGCGTATTTGTGGGCTCGCAAAGCTGCACAGGCCGGGTTAGCCAAGGCAGAATATGCAATGGGCTACTTCACCGAAGTCGGCATTGGAGTTCCGGCGAACCTAGAGGATGCAAAACGGTGGTATTGGCGAGCAGCTGGTAAGTTATAAACAGGATTCTGGTAAAACTAAATCAGCACGGCTAATAATTGAGAACAGCTCAAGACTTCCCGAAGGCCCGAGAACGACTTGAGGATCTGAAGCGCTCTGGCCGGAATGCTCCTCGCCAGCGTGAGCGCATCACACGTAGCAAAGTAAGTGGAAAACAGCAAGAGGGGGAATGCACCGTGATGTAGAACATTCGGTGCACCACACCTTTACCACAACCGGGACCATCATGGGAAATGGATGTTGATTCGGAATGGTTGTTTACCCCTCACGACTCCTCCCCTGGAAGCAAATCGCTTCTTAAACGCTTCCAGACAATCTGGAAAGCAGATGCTCGTCGTGGGTCACTTTAAAACGGTGCATAGACAAAAAAAAATCATAGGTGTCTGACTAATAACGATGACCTAGAGTCAGAGGATAGAAATAATAGGGAAGAAGCAAGGAATATAAAGTGATATTAATTATTTGTAGCACATCTCGGAATCAGAGAAACAAGCGTAAATTCACGACATAGGATTGAATGTATTCGATGTTCTGGCTACTTGTTCATTGTCCTTGAGAAGCTATCGATGAGGTCAACTATGAGATCATCATTGGTGCTTATGGTGTTATTGGCAACGCTCAAACTATCTCCAACACCGACTCGCTGGGTGAGAGTGTTTACAGGCTTCTACGATGTTACGAACAAGATGCTCCTTACTAGTCTGCCATCCTTACCAGCAGCGCATATGATTTTATTGAACAAACCCGTGTCGATCGCATTACTTTCTCACACATCGCATTTACATCCTCCATAGGAACCTGTATTCTCGCGTCTAGTCAGACTGATACTCTTCTGGTTCCTCTGTTAAGATAGAGCCTCTTCTCATCAATTGATGACCAGCTGGTGCAGGTTTAGAGGACGACTTCTTCAGTTTGACCCTCTCTTGCGCCAATTTCTTGTCGAACGAGTCTCTCACTTTGAGGATTTTCTGGAGGTGCTCCAACAACAGCTTCTTTTGCTCAAACGTGGCGATCGTCCTAGCCGTGTTCAAAGTGTTGTATATCTCACGGCCATTAAGGTTGCGCTCCGCAAGAACCTGCGCCGCATAAGCTATATCGTCTATGCCCAGCTCGTCGGCAGGGACGGTGCGTAAAGCCTGCGTCCACATCTGTTGGCGAATGGAAGTACCAGGGGGACTAAAGCCAAGCGCAAGATGGATGCGCGACTTCATCGCCCAGTCGAATGTCTCCACGCGGTTCGTTGTCAGGAAGATGATGCCGGAGAAATATTCGAGTTCTTTGAGGAAGATGGCTACCAAGGCGTTGCGATCGGCATTGCCGGCTTTCTCTTCTCGCATCTCGAGGAACACGTCTGCTTCGTCAAGCAACACGATGGCTTTCCATAGCGTTGCGTATTGCAGAAGTCTCCGAAGATTACGCTCGAAGATGAATGACCTATCACGATGAGTGAAGTTCTCAGATTTGAGAGAACATAGATACGGAGTGAAACTCACATTCGCTCGGTGTCGAGGCTAGCCATGGATGCGGAGATCAACGCTTTATGCGTCATTTCGGCTGAAGACTCTGCGCTCAGCGTCTTTCCCGAGCCAGGTGACCCGTGAAGCAATATCACCAAACCTTTACCTTTCTGCTCAGGCTGGTCTCGTGCATTCTCCGGGTAGGAGTGTGATGTGACTAGTGCTTGGAGGACCAGCTTCTGCTCCTCCTCGAGGATTAGCTTGTCCCATGCGTCTTCCTTCCATTTCACTGGCGTTAGATTCGGCACCAAGAAGCGACACCACTCTTTCTTAGCGAGCGAGTAACCGATCACGAAGGGTGGGCAAAATGCTAGCTCGGGGTTGGCCTTGGAGATCGCGGGGGTCTTGTTGGGATGGTCTTCTTTAAATGTTGCTTTGTCGAGAACGACCCTTCCTGTTTCCTACGGCTCGGTTAGATTAGTACATCAACGAGTTTTGATCGTACGAGCTACTTGATGTCTTATCAAGACGTACGTACAGTATAGGGAAGCCAAACAGGACTTGCGGAAGCCATATCATAGTCCCACCATGACCACGGCGGATCCTTCAAGTACTGCGCCAGACCTTCATAGCTCTGCGTGGAACAGCCGCGGAGATCTAGGAACTTCTCCCCCCTCTTTTCATATCTTTCCTCAATACTGTCGTCCTCAATATACTTGCGGGGGAATATTTCGAGAGCCATGATATTAGCAGGATTGTCTGCGCCGAAGTCTCGCTTTTGTACGAGCACGACTTTATGTCCCGCATCCCCGACCTCTTTCCCGTCATAGTCAGTATATCTACAATACACTTCGAAATACGGCCCGATCTTTGTATTCTCTTCGTACACGGTTTTGACGCAGCGCATCAGCCAACCGTGTCCCATGACGGTTGTGTAGAGGATATCCCTGGGACGAAAAACGACCCAGGCTGAAAGGAAGGTTATCTGCCCTTTCTGGATCATGCTCATGATCTTTGTCCGATCTGGACCTATCTCGTTATCCATAAACTGAAACAACAAGTTCAAGTGCATGCGAGCCTCATTGTCGGTTGTCCCTTTCCGATATTCCTCTAGCTCATCCCAGTAGTGAACTAGCATCTGGAACGGGTTCTTGATCTCAAAGGGCGACTTGAAGTCTGACGGAATCGAAGGATACGATCTAACGACATCCCGGAATACTTTGAGTAAGTGTGGAGAGTTGATCTTCAGAGTAACGGATTTTGGCGCGGATTGGTCCTCGACTGTGAACTCGCGGTTGATCACGAGCGCATAGGTGCTGTCAGCGTGTCCTTTAGCTTCATTCTCAAACGGGCTGACGATTGGTTTGACCCTCAGTCGTCCTTCTTTGTTGGGAACCGTGTGATAAGTCTTGAACTCGCAGCGAGAGCCAAAGTTACTCCCAGTGGAGGCTGACGTAGGAACCTCAGGCGGATTAGACATTCTCAAGAGGATTGGGCACGATTCCAGTGGTTCTCAAGTCAACCTAAGCTGAAAGATACGAAAGAGCCCCGATGATCTGGGGACGTTACTCCGCGCTGTGGCTGCGCGCTCGACGCCGGACGATGATTCTGAGATAACTGTACGCATCAGGGTAGATCAGCCCTTATAAAGTCGCCTCAAAGAGTGTCTAACGTAGACCGTCTACATGGATTCAAGGACAAGCTCCAACAAGTGAGAAATTATCAAGCCTACCGACACAGCCCATCCTTTTGATTATCTTCAAGCAGTTCGATATAGCCTCTTACAAGGATGACAAACTGCAGCTAGATCCGAAACAGCTAGTCAGCCGTAGGTCATGGAAGCGAGTAATAAAATCCATTGGGCTGCAGTACCTACCTAGTTTCATCAGCACGAGCCCAAATGGTAAAGGCTGGGAATACTACTTCCCCACCTTGCCACACGTCTATCGACTATTTGTGCCTTTTAAGGCTATCAGCATGGATATGACTGCATCAGACCAGTCGGTTCTCATTGGTAGACATCTCCATCAGCTATGCATTGGGTAGGATTTGGCCCCCAGGCAGACCCAGGTAATAAAGTGAGTGCATGGTGTGATTGCCGAACAGCAGGCAATTCTATGTACGAGGCCTACAGCAGCCTTCTCTACCTGTTTCACCGCCACACGACCTTGTCAGTCTGACGTCTCGAATTGACGTACTGTTATGCCTCTAAAATGCGTGCTGGGCTAGGAGAACGAGGTATCTTGTCGTTATCCCGTCTGTCACCCCATTCCGTATCCTCATCGTACTCGTTACTCTGCATGCATGCGTTAGCCCACGAAGGTTAATATGGACTATGCTGCCTCCACGTTTAGCCGTATCCAGGGTTCTGGGACGGCGAGTTCGAACGGGGCATTTGGCAAGGCAATCGATGAGTTCCTAGGCGAGTTGAAGGAAAAGCACAAAGACGACGCAAAGAATCCATTTCTTCAGGCGTTAATAGGTCATGATGAAACGAAACGAGCGGAAGATGGGGTGTCTCAAAGCGAAGTCTCGGCACAGGAGCTGCAAAGCTCCATCTTACAGCTGGATGCTAAGAAGCGCACGGGGAAGGGCTATCGGCTGCTTCATCGGCTGAATCCATTCTTGGATGTCCTTAAGACGCTACTCAAGAAATCTGAAGCGTTCTCTCAAGTTGCGCCCTTTGGCGTTGCGATAGCCTTTATTGGGGCCCGCATCGTGTTGGAGATGGCCCTTGCTGTAGAAGAATATCTCGAGGTTGTCGTCACTGCCATGGAGCGAATTGCGGGGATACTAGAGGTCTACAAAAGGCTATCATCCTCCCCTGACCTTGGTCCGCGACTAGTTAATTCTTATAAGGCTATCATTACGTTCTGGTACAAGCTGTCCAAAGTATTGTCGTCTTCAAAGATTAAAGGGATACTTCCTAGGACCATGCTCACTTCTCTGCAAAAGGAAACTGAAGATGCACTCAAAAATCTCCAAGAAGACATGCAAGTCAATTTAGGAATTTCCCAAGCAGCAGGTTTACTCATGGCTGATATCGATCGCCAAGTGAGAGTTGATGCAGACCAAAGAGCTCTCAAAAACGACATCAGGCGGTGGATAATGGGTCAAAATAATGTCGATTTCAAAGGCGACTACGAGACTCAGCTCGAGATGCGATACAAAGATACATGCGCTTGGGTTCTCGAAGATCAGCGGTTTTTAGATTGGCAGGACTCCCGGGATAATGCCCTGCTCTGGTACAATGCGCCACCTGGGTCAGGAAAAAGCGTGCTCGCAGCTACGGTGATAAACGATTTGACGAAATATAACAAGAAGGTGGCTTACTTCTTCTATTCCTTTAGCAAGAATTCTAGTCGTCATGTTGCAGACGGCCTTCGAATACTGGCTTTGCAGCTACTTGCATTTGTCGGAACACCATCCGACAAGTTGGTGGACTTATACGAGACAGAAACGCAGTTTGCTCCGTATCTGAACAATCTTCGCACTACAGTTAGTGTAGTGCATGAGCTCATCACTCGTAACGACAACCTATACATCGTTTTAGATGGCATAGATGAGTGTGGAGATGAAAAAGAGATGCTTCCCCTACTTGAAAGATTGATCGAGCAACCTACTCTCGGTACGGTGAGGTGGTTGTTTACAAGTCGAGTCTCAGAGGTTGAGAAGGCGATGAAACGGCTTCAAGCGGTGGAAATTCATCCCAGCCCGGACAACATACGAGAAGATATTAAGAACTATCTCGCACCAAAGATCAGTTGCGAAGAATGTCTTCATGACTGGGTTGATGAATGTGACAACAACTTTCTCATCGCGAGATTTGTTTCGGAAACGCTCGGGAAGCTCACGAGCGAGGCGGATATCAAAGCGGAGTTGAAGATATTCCCTAAAAAGCTTAACGGTTACTATATGCGGACTCTAACAAAAATCGATGCTCGGGGTCAAATGGAACAACTAGTCGCAAGGTAAGTCTAGATACTGTGTCCAGAAATGAGATTCGGTCATTCTGACTTTCGTAGGCGTATCTTTCTCATATTGGGCTCCGCACAACAGACGATTTCTATTGACGAGTTAGTCGATGCGCTTGCTATTCAGCGCGGAAGTCAAGATTACAGCACTTTGCGATTGCCGAAAGAAGAACTCATACATGATCTCTGCGGATCACTTATTGTCATCGAACAGTGCACCACGGGGACGCCAGGTCATAGCCCGCTCGTCAGATTCTGCCATAAAAGTGTCAAGGATTTCTTCCAACAGGACCCGAAAACCTGCGATTTTGGCGTTGACGAATCGCTTCATAAATACTTTGTCGCGCCAACTGATGCCGACGAAGAGATTGGCCTGGACTGCCTGACATACCTTATGTATGGCAGGTACACTAAGCATATTGATCTAGGATTCCTAGACAGCACGATTCCAAAAGAACATGCTTTCCTGCGGTATGCCGCTACGTTCTGGTTTCAGCATCTCGGAGATGATTCTATCGAGAAGCCGTCTTCTGCCGCTGCACAGGCCGTCCGAGAATTCCTCAGCAGTAAAAACTTCTGGAACTGCTTGCGTGTCCAAAGCCATATCGCGCCTTATTTGTTTGGACGGTATACGGGCTACAGGCCAGGGGGGTATAAGATGGCCATTCGAGGCAAAGAGTGGAAGGGAAACGATAGCTTTGCGATACCGCTGCCAACTTGGCTGAGCGACAACTCGTCTGATGATCTTATGAGGGACCAGTCACTCTGTCACTTTGTTGAAGAATGGCGTGAAGTGATTATTACACAACCTCAAGGACTAGACCAGTGCGTGTCTATGAAGGCTTTCCCAAACTCTTGCTGGCTCAAGTCTCTGTGCAAGACTAGCACAGTGAAAGGAGTTAATCTGGCCGAGACATTTGGCAGCGATGTCATATCTACCTCCCAACTGCTTGGGGTGGGTTTCAGCGGAAAGAAACTGTGTGTTGATATGGCATACCAAACGAAGGATGGCCCAACAGATGTGCTCTACCGTCTCAAGCAACAATTATTTAAGGCGAACAGTCGACCCCAACGATCGCAACAGAAAATCCCCTTGGGTTCTGGCATCTCGAAATGGGCGATTACTGCTGTAGATGAAGAGGGCGTCTCAAAACAGCTTACTGCTTGGAGTGTCGATCCTTCATCCTTGAATGTAAGAATGATGCGTGGCGAACATAGTGAACCGTTTGACGCGCCGTCTCTGTCAATCAAGGGAAGGCGGACATCTCCCAATATAAGCTGGGAAATGTTGGGAACTTACAAGCACGATTATCATGAGACGGGGGCTGACGTTGATAAATCCATATATGTGTTTCATATGTCCCAACAGGCTATTAGGGCGGAACCAATTGATGATGATGATGATGCTGAAGATAGTGATGATTCTGATAACGATGCTGAGGCGACATCAGATGAAGAAGAATCTGACGACGAAGACGAATTCTCTGATGATGACGATTCATCGTCGGATCGATCTAGCGACGAGTCTGCCGCCGAAGAGACCTCGACGGATGAGTCGGATGCAGAAAGCGATTGCTGTCATCATGAGGATACGGACTGCTTGATCATTATATCTCCGGGCCGTTCTCCGTTCTGGACGAAACCATGGACACACCCGGCACTGTTGTGGTCGAGAAACATGTGTGCGATGCATCCGACTGAACCTCTAGTAGCATTCATGACCGCGCCAACCCAGATCGGCGTTGTACAGGGCGAGACGCAAAGGTCAATCGAAATCTCCGGTCTGGAGGACGAACCAGAAGATGTGTTGGCTAGCGCAAGAGGTCTGTCAAAAGCCGTCCCGCACATATGTACGCCCGTGACTAACTCTTCATCGCAGAGCTCCGATTCTCCCGTTGTGGGAAGTATCTCTATTACGCCTCAGTTGTCTTCGTCGAAAGGGACCATTTCACCGAGTGCACAGTGACAGCTTCTTGTCTCGAATTCTCCCTCGATCAAGAGGATGATGCTGCCAAAACCATCACAGCATCTCAAATAGCTCGCGTTGTCTATGCCTTCGCAGAGCCCCTGGAGGCTATAGAACCTCCGTTTGCCCTGACGTACTGGAGCGACGACTATGTAATCATCGCGTTGCCGCATCTCACCTGCAATCCCAAGATCCTTAAGATCGCTCTAAATAGCGACGTCTCTCACCCCGTCTCGACACTGTGTAACCCAATCTATTTCCCTGCGTCCACACCTCGTCGCGACGCGCGTCTCGTACATAGACCGAGTAGTAGAGACTCGGAAGGATACATCTTCCTCGTTCTTAACGCCGTGCCAGTGGCAGCAGTAGCTAAGGATGGTGCGGTGTCTGATACAAGCTCGCCTGTGACGGCGCTTCGGTGGTCCGTTTCGGACGACGAGGGATGGCGGCCTTGGAGCGAGGATGAGGATGCCACTTTGTCGGATCTGACGAGGGGGTATTCGCCTCTCTGGAACTTCATGAGAGGTAGTTTTGTGGAGAGTGGGAAGCCGTTTAGTGTGCCTGTCAGGTCGGGATTGAATTGGACGAGAAAGTCGTATTTGAGCTGCGTTTAGCACCTACCTACCAACTTCAAATCTATGGATGTACTACAGGACTTTTTGATTGCAGATATAGTTCCTTTTGTTGTCGTGTGATTGATTGACGTGCTATGCTTCTCAAAGGCTTCATGGTCTTGATTTTGGAACATTTCCCCGTCAAAGGTAGCTTACATGTGCATATCATATCATATCATCTTTCGAACCTAAGCTGTTCACTTAGCCAGCTTGGTTAGCTGAATCATTCCCTTCGATGCCACCGCTCAATCATAATCGAACAGCCTACAATTGCCATTTCTTATCCATTTATTTCTTCTCTTCTCTTCTCTTCTTCATTTGCCTCGGTTACGGGCTCGGATTATCCGATTTGCAGCCAATGGCGGAGGCCAATTCTAGCTATCGGAGCTATCCTTAGCCAGCGGGGGGTGTGGTGGGCTGGTGCGCTGTAGTAGAAGCTTCCTACTAACGTCATCGGTCATCTATCTCGAAACCACTTTCGCTAGATTATTATTATACAATCAAGCAGCTGTCGAATTGGCAGCGCATTGAAGGTCTCGAACTGCCGGTGTCATTCCTCCTACCGCCAATTCAGTATCACTTGGCATTTCGGATTAGCCCTTGGACAGTTATTATCCTCTCTTCCACCTAGCTAGGTGTTCACGGTGCCGAGCATGGCGACAGTCAAAGCCGCAGACCCGATACTGCGCGCATCCCTTCGGCCCTCGTCGATACGGCGGTTCGAGCGAGTTGGAGGCGCCAAGCTGAACAGTCCAGTGTTGACATCGGTGCGGTGGAAATCAGGCCCATATGGATATACACAGGCGAAGGCCCTTGTGTTCAGCCAATATGGTGAGCCAAAGGACGCCTTGAAGTGAGCTAGCTACCCTTTTCTATCTCGGTCTCCTCTATCTTCAAGATCTTCTTTATACCGCACATCGGACTTCGCTAACAAGGGACTTACCCTTGGTCTAGACTACACACACACTCCATCTCGCCTTCTCTCCCATCCTCCTCCGTCCTCCTGCGAACCCTCGCCGCCCCAATCAACCCAGCAGACGTAAACACAATCCAAGGCACATACGGGGTAAAGCCAAAGTTCACCTCTCTAATCGGGACACCCGAACCGTCCGCGCTCCCAGGTAACGAAGGTGTCTTCGAAGTGGTCTCATCCCCGCCCTCGTCCTCAGGCCTCGCAAAAGGCGACTGGGTGATCCCCGCAAAGACGGGCTTCGGCACCTGGCGCACGCACGCCGTGGCCCCAGTCGACGGCGTCATCAGAGTCGACAAGGACGGCCTGAACCCACTCCAAGCCGGCACCGTGAGCGTCAACCCGTGCTCCGCGTACCGCATGCTCCGCGACTACGCCGACCCTGCCCTGAGGGAAGGAGACTGGTTCATACAGAACGGCGCGAATAGCGGCGTGGGCCGCGCCGCGATCCAGCTCGGCCGGCTCTGGGGGTACCGCAGCATCAACGTGGTTCGCGCTCGCGACTCCGAGGTCGCTACCCAGGCGCTCAAGGATGAATTGCTGGCTCTCGGCGCGGACCACGTCGTTACCGAGGAGGAGTTCCTGGCGCGCGAGTTCAAGGATAAAGTAGCGGAATGGACGCGCGGGACCGGTGGGAGCGGAGTGCGGCTCGGACTGAACTGTGTGGGGGGTAAGTCCGCGCAGACCATCGCCAAATCGCTGGGCACGAGCGGCACCATGGTCACGTACGGCGGCATGGCGAGACAGCCGGTGGCACTACCCACTGGCCTCCTCATCTTCAAGGACTTGCGGTTCGTGGGATTCTGGCTGAGTCGCTGGGCCGACGGCGACACGGCGGCCAAGACGCGGACGGTCAACGAGATCCTCGATTGGACGCGCCAGGGCAAGTTCAAAGATACTCCCGTTGTCGATGTCCCCTGGAACTGGGAGACGGAAGACACGCCGTTGAAGGAGGCTGTGCAGGGGACATTGGAAGGGTTCAGGGCTGGGAAGGGTGTTTTCGTGTTTGGAGAGACGTGAGGAATGAATATTGTATATGATGAATGGATGCTAGAATCAACACCTCGTATCGCTATGTTTTCATGAAATAACATTCGGAGAATGGAACTGTTGGAAGTACACCTTATCAATGTCTTCGGCACGGAAAGGACAGTGTATATATCGTAATGACAAGAATCATAATAGAGCTTTCTAGCAGGTATGTGGCTTCGTCACTGCATGAAAATGAGCCTACGATTGTATATTCATTAGCTCCTGTACACCGTTTGAGCCCTCTAACCGAGCCCCGGACCGCTCCAAGTAAGAAACACAAGGGTGGTTGATAAAAAGCAAAACCTCCAACACCTGGGACCCTCCCTTCATGCAAAATCACCCCCTTCCCTCCCAAATTCTGTTGATATCATCTTGGTCTTTGAGGAAAGTTGCTCAAGCTCCATACCCGCCATCTCCTGGGCCCAATCTTTGCCCATCCATTTCGCAGCCTCAAGTGTTGACTGTATAAAAACGTAGTACGTCGAGATAAAAAAGGTGTAATGGGGTTAATTTCCTTCTGGTAATCCCGGTCTATGACCACCACTCTGTGTCCGTCTGGATTTGCCCGATACTATCCTATTTTGGGGCAGGGGAGGCGAAGTTCTTGGTCCATTCCTTAGCTGTGGCAATAGCCTTGTTCTCGTCTTCCTTCCAGCTTTTCGCGACATCGGCGGCCAGCGGATCATCGGGGTTAGGTGCGCCCAGCAGGGCCTGGATCGATAGGAGGATGGTGCGGATCTGAAGGGCGGGTGACCAGTTATCTGAGAAAGAGGATATTAGCGAATGGCTCTGGTGTGTACCTTCTGGCCGTAGACTGCAGAGCTTACTCTTCAGCACATCCAAGCAGATCCGACCAAGCTTGTCGACGTTGGGGTGGTAGATTTTGGTTAGGAAGCGGATCTTGGGCGGAACCATCGGGTAGTCGTCTGTCAGGAATAGTTCGAGCTTGAAAACACCACCTGCGCGCGACGTCCATGTTAATGATTGGGCTGACAACATGGTGGTGCCGTACGTTGACGAACGACTTGCTTACCTTCGTACGGCGAGCCGGACGGGCCATGAATCTCGACATCGAAGTAGCGGAGATTGTCTTCATGGGGCACTGCACTGATGCCGGGAACACTACGAGTCAAGGATGCGAATTAGCGATGTCGTGTGAGCGGGCTGTGGTTGGTGTGCGTCATACGGCTCCGAGATCAGGCGCTCCGTCTCTTTTATAATGCGCTTTGGCAAGGCCATCTCGATATTCCTCCTTGAACTGCACTGCCGAGCGAAGATGTAAGTGTTTGGGATAACAGCTAGTGAACTGCCTTGAGGGTTATAAAAGAGCCTGGGTTAAGGATATGTCAGTTGGGTTGTCCATAGAAACATTGAAGAGTAGGTAGGTAGTGGGTACCTGGACTAGGTGGTGGTGTAACTAAAGTTTGGAACTGGAGGGAGATAAGGCTGCGAGGGAGGGATGGAGGGGCGGGGGGCGGGGGGGATACCTATATTATGTAGAACAGTGGTAAGCTCTATCCTTGTCGCAAGGGAGAGGGCAATGAGAATGAATGTGATAGAAATTGCAAATGCGAATGGGAGAGAGAAGATGTGAAGGTATATTGGGTGAGCCCCAAAGAGTTACCGAGTACCTACCTGTTATTCTTGCCCTGAAGGCACTGATAGGTACCTAGATTAAGCTTGAAATCTGGGGTTTGCTACCTAGGTAGGTACCTAAGGGACAGCGCCAACTGAAACATGAATGAAATCAATGATACCTAATCAATAATTGAGAACTACCTAGGTACATAAGAGAGATGATACTGTACCTTGCTAATCAGCACTTAAAATGTTCCAGTATGAGGCCGTGAGAACGGGTGGGCGTTAGCGGGGACTCGGCGGGGAGTACCTAGGCGAGTACCTAGGTAACCGCCTGCCCCTCCTCATGCTAAGTAGACCCTGACCAGACTTACCTAAGCCTCATGTACAGTGTGCACAGCAAATCAAGCTAACCTAGATTTGGACATATGGCTAGGTTACCTAATTTGTTAGCTCGACAGACAGACAGACATCAAAAGATATACGCACCCCTTTATGTCTCTTCGAGCTCTCATCCAAGCTTCAACTGCTCCTTCGGCTCAGACACTCGTTTCGAGCTACATCTCGTCGAACTTATCTCACACTCACGGTTGCATCATCAAGGAAATACTATCTCTCACACCTCACCGCCTGCGGCTCACACCAAAGTCCCCATAGTCGTCGAGCTTTGCTGGTCACATGAGATGTGTCATGAATAGCTTGTCCATACAGCTTTTCATTGGCTCGATAGGGCTCGATGAGACGTCATGCGTCGTGCTCGTGGCTGATTCATATCGCGAGTGAAGGCCCCCAACTCCTACCTACGCGTAGGTAGCGGACGACGATATCCACCAAATCATGCCTTCCTCTTTTGATCGCCCATCAGACAACCCCAAACGGAATAAAATCATCAAATCCGCCTACGATAGTGAGACCTTTGATGCCGACGTCACCATCCATGTCGATGGGCTCGTGGGGTCGGCCACCATATCGCCGTCCGGCCGCGATATTGCTCTGGCCTCTCCCGATGGACTGGCCATCATTGATCTGGACTCTCCCTTCAACCCACCTCGACGACTGAGCACTCACGGATTGCCTTGGCTGGTCGTGGACGTCCAGTGGTCCCCTTTTGCTGCGCGAGACTACTGGGTGGCTTCTACTGCAAACCATCGTTGTCTGGTATGGAACTTGAGTTCGGGAGGGGATAGCGCCATCGAACACTCTCTCCAGGGACATAGCAGAGCGATTACCGATGTCAATTTCTCTGCTCATCACCCAGATATTCTCGCCACTTGCGCCGTCGACGGATATGTCCATTCTTGGGATTTGAGGAGACCTAGACAGCCTGTATTGAGCTTTTGTGATTGGTTTGCTGGCGCGACACAAGTTAAGTACAATCGTCAGGACTCGCACATTCTAGCCTCCTCTCATGACCGATGGCTGCATATCTGGGACGAGAGAAAGCCTTCGACTCCTCTCAAGTCAATCGTCGCCCATACGTCCAAGATATATGGTCTGGATTGGAATCGCACCGAGGCAACCAAGATAGCCACTTGTTCATTGGATAAAACCATTAAGCTTTGGGACTACGCTGCTTCAGATCAGCCGGAAAGAATTATCAGGACAGAATTTCCGACATGGCGTGCACGTCATACGCCCTTCGGATGGGGGCTGCTAGCCATGCCCCAAACTGATCCCGGGAACTTATATCTCTACGACTTACGTCGCAGAGAGGAAGACGAACCTGCCCAAGATGTCGTAGCCCCTGTCACCGTGTTCCCTGGGCATGGGAGCCACAAGGTGAAAGAGTTCTTATGGAGAACACGCGGGAGTGTTTCGGATGGAATTGATGATCGAGATTTTCAGCTCGTGTCGTGGGGAGAAGATAATGAGCTCCGCTTACACAAGGCAGCATCACACGTTCTTGAATCCGTGGGCTATTACAAGGGCACCAAAGCTCGCGCAATTCCCATCACTCGAAAAGGAGCCCAGTACAAGACTTATCGGGCAATTGATGACCAGTCTCTGAGGGAGAGAACAACGGCAAGCATGAGTGACCCTCGTCCTGACAGTAGAGGGAGCCAAAATAGACGTAGTGCTCTAACTATAGGGATGCGAACTATGCCGACTCATCTGTCGAAACCTGGCAAGGGTTCTTCATGGAAAGGCCAGTCTATGAAGGCTAGACCCACAGCAACAAAGGGGACTGATCGTCATCTTGATCAACTGGGCTGGATGAAGGGCATCACTATGAACAAGAGGAAAGCGTCTGTTATTACAACACCTCAGAGGAAAGACTCCAAAGATTCTACTATGTTCGGACCTAGCTTCCATCAAGAACATTGGGGTGAACCAGAGACGCTACAGGAAGAAATTCTCCGTGTGAATCAGCAACTGCCAAACGTTCAATGGGACAATGTTGACATGGAGTCACGTACCTTGAAAGCCTCTCTGAGAGGGCCATGGGGCGAAGACGGCGACACAATCTATATCAAGGTCAAGGTTGATGTTCCCACGAAATACCCTAAAGCTAGAGCGCCACGCTTCATTATTGAGAAGTCTGCTCTAATGCCTGATCAGATACACAAGAAGCTTGATCAGGATGTGAACCAACTGGCGAGCCAATCTTCAAAAAAGCGGCAAAATTGTCTAGATGTCGCCTTCAGTTACTTGTTAGGAGAAATTGACCTCTCAAATAGTGATACGTTCTTCAAGAATGTTAGAGACCTAGATGACGACTTTGGTGGCATAGATGACGAAAGCTCAAGTGAAGAAGAAGATAACGAGATCCCACCTGGTGGTTTAGCAGCTATGTCTCAGGATCTTACCGCTAGTACTGAGCTTGAAGCTCCTCTGGCACCGATAAACCGCCCGACCATTCCCCCACTTCCGCGGACGTGTGGTGGTCGGTTTTCCAATGATGGGCGGCTTGTTTGTTTTTTTCCGACGAAAGAGGAAAAAGCTCGCGTTTTATTTACTCCTACCGATGGGTTCAGAGAACGGCGGAAAGATGAACCAACGTTCGCAAGCTTTGGCCGCCTACAACAAGAATCGACCCCTCCTCGTCACAGAAACCTAAATGATGAAACCTCTACAACCGAAGACCAGTCTGACTCGGAAGCGTCTGATGACTCTTCAAGCTCGAGCGACTCTGCAACCACTTATATGAATGAAATACATGCATGGTACCTACCAGGCCGCCGATTCAGGAAGGCTCTTAGTGGCACATACTCATTGCACTCTAGCGGTGCAGGGACGGGTATTGGGACAGGGACTGGTACTGCTACCAGCAGGCGGCGAATAGGAAAACCAAAGAATATCGTATCCATACATAATCTTGCCGGAGAACTACCATCGAAACGAGAACTGGCCCGCGAATATCTCATCTTTGGTGATGGAGCCGATATATGTGAACACAACGCGCTCGTAGCTCGGAAATATGGACGACATGATCTTGTTGATGTGTGGCGGTATGCGGCATTATTACTACGAAAAGAAATCCCTCTTGAGCTTCTGGCACAAGAAACTCAACAAGACACAATTCTCGTCATCGCCAAAGATGCAGTTGGACGTTTCGGTGACCAATCAACATCAGATAACTCTGATAGCAATATTCTAACGGGGCGGGTCAAATGGGGTCACCACCCTTTAGCTAAACATCTTATAAACGACCTTTTCGATTATTTCGAGCAGCTTGCCGATATCCAGATGCTAGCCATGCTTTCATGCATATTTAGCGAATCGACCGCTGAAGATAGCGTTGCTTATGCAGGATCACAACTTCCCCAGCCAGAAACTCCACTCCCTATGAAGGCGCCGGCATTTTCTCTCGAATATTTTCCTCCCGATGTGTCACTGTGGTATGCTTCCCATGGAAACTACAAAAGTCAGGCCACCTCGGCAGTATCAACACCAAAGACGTTACATACACCCCATATCGTCGGTTCTTACGGATCCGAAGAGGTTTGGCCCGGAGAGCCAGAGTCTACGTCCTACTCTTGTGGCGAGACACCTCCGTCTAGAACACCTAAAGACCATCTTTCAGAAGGTGATCCAACCCATAGTCTATCAACCTCGCCTGACAATCGACTATTACGCCGAGCCACCGCCCTTACTTCTAGCTTCGCCAGCATTCAGAGGCCTTTTACAAGTGTTACATCTACATCACCACCGCATCGAAAACGAATAAGCCCAGGGGAGAGTTTTCTTAACAATTTTACACCGTCTAACATCACTTGGGGCGGTTCGACCACAATGGGACCAACGTCTGAACCATCTATGACGACTCGTAACTCTTTGTCCGACGATGAATACCGAAGGGATGAGGCCCATTATACAGTATGTTACGACATCTCCACCAAAATGGAAGATCAAACCATCTTCGATGATGATGGATGGTTGGCTGTACCGTTCTTAGAGCCATCTCGTAGTGCGATCTATGCAGGCTACCGCTATACCTATGCGGAAATGTTACAGATGTGGGAACAGCCGTTAGCTCGTCTTGAAGTCATGAAATTCAATGTCCTCAAAGATAGCCCATCGACAGCCCACACTGCATTGTTTAAGAGCCCCGGCACAGAAGGGTTCTATAGCTCCTACCATAGTACAGACAATTTGAGCAGTGTCCCACACGCCCATGCTACCATGCATTCTCCTATTGCAGTGGGTAAAAAGGAGCAGCTGCAAGCCTTGATAACGTCGGGTCGTGGCATTGATATTCGTGGTATCTGCCGTATCCATGAAATTCATTTAGATCCTATTCGCTCAAATCAAGATCATGCCATGGTCGGTGGTGGTGTAGGCACATGTGAGCGTTGCAAACGGACCCAGACGCAATTATTCTGTGTATTTTGCAGAGAACCTATTGATGCGCTCTACCCGCCTTGTCTAGCTTGCGGTTGTGCTATTCATGATATGTGTCTTACCGAATGGCACGCAGCTGGCCAGACAGAGTGTCCGGCAGGCGATGAGTGCGATTGTGTGACGGATGCAAGCCACGGGCAAATTGAAACCATCGCCGCCATGATGGGAGCTTTGCGACAAGGCAAAGTGCGCAAACCGTCTGAAGACAAGGAGGTGAAGGGGAGCCTCGACAAACGAGGATCTATAGATAAGAATGATTGGGAAACTGTTGCTAGTGGAGCTAATCTACCTCTCGCCGATGGGCAAGGAAAGCCCCTCCTGCAGGATTACTCCCGGTCTCAACAACCTCTGTCAGCTGCTAGGATCAGTCTGGGTAACCGACTGACATGGGGAAGCAGTCCATCGCTGAGGAAAAAGTCTGGAAGTGTGACCTCGGGAACGCCTAGATAGGGCTGAAGTAGAGGGAATATCACCAGGGTCTGCCTTCAGGTGCCATCCCGGGCCTCATGGAGAACTCCGAGGGTAGACCGGATCTTCATCGATCTAAATGTAAATGAGAATGCGCAAAAGTTCCATAGAGATCGACATGGTAATTTCCCCAATTAATATTGGTATTTTTCTTACCTCAGAGGAAATCTGGGTCAGATTAGCAGTCAATTTGTCGACAAAAAGCGTCACATCTAATGACATTAATGTTTGGAATCGGAACAGACTACTCTTCTTGTTGAGTCCGAGCCAAAGCTTTATTGAATACCCATTTGCCGAATCACCTGAACTTAAGATGCTGATTGAGATCCCAAAAAACGCCGTCAGCAAAGTAGTGTATGCAACAATGTATCCAGTGGTGGTATCACAGCAGGGATCATCATCTGTGTCAGTTTCAGCACAACCAATTGGTTGTGGCTTATTCGAGGACCAATACCCTTTTCAACCAATCCTGGCATCCTTATTCGAACTGACGTAGTGTAGTTGAAAATCCTATCAGCACTAGTAAGCGGTTTGTTCACTGCAATGGAATGTTCCAATCCTTCGTAATGTTCCAATTATGGAAGTATGGCTTATTGCTATGACGTCCTGAGCAGACAGTTCGACCATCTTTTCTGCGGCATATTACAGTGAGCTTGAAGCTTCTCTTCTTCTTGGTTTCACTAGATGATAAGTCGTCGATAACACGGAAATATAACGCGCGATTCATCTGAATACCGACAGACAACATGATCAGCACACGACTCTCCCTGTTAGCGATACTGGCGCTCTTCGTAACAGCTGCGCAGAGCGCCTCCGTCAGTTTCACGAACGGCTTGCCAGCAAACAGCATCATGGATGAAGGGACAACGTTCGAAGTGAAGTGGAGCTGGGACGGCGGCAAACAGGCCACGGGCCAGCTGGTTTTGACCACGTTTACCCAGAATAACATGAACAGCGCCGTGAACACCACCTTAGAAGGTTAGATAAACCAATTGTGATGTTGCTAATAGAAGGCCTTGCGCATATACTAATTTTCTGCCATACGAACAGATAAACTCAACCTAGCTCAAGAAAGCTATTCCTGGGTCGTGATGACGTCAAAGGGTCACAAATCGCTGGACTGGTACTACAGATTCAGCATCATATACAATGGAGATGCGAGTCAGGCGTCTGGTCGTGCTTTCAGGATCAATACTGCATCTTCTACATCTAGTACTGCTGGCACTGGAACGGCGACCAATTCTCCTGGAACCTCAAAAGATCCGTCGGGTGAATCATCATCGTTGAGCGGGGGAGTCATCGCGGGTATAGTCGTCGGGTCTGTGGCCGGCGTGGGCATACTTGCCGCGCTAGTCGGACTTGTATTATACTATAGACGGAAATCACGGCGTGGAGAGACGAAGGGGACAGATCTGCCGGCCCCGAAACTCGGGGCCGACACTGCGATCAGTTCTACTCCAGAAACTAGGGACGGCGCTAGCCTGGGTATAGCGGCAGCGACAGCGATGCCACAGTATCAGAAGGCAGAACTAGATGCCGCGGAACGGCAGAGCATATCTTACGAGCTTGAGGCCCGGCCGATCTCGTCTAGCGGAATGACGCGGCCTTAGCTCAAATCAACCACTAGGGCGGAACTTGCTGGGGATATCTCAAACGAGGGCGGGAGAGCTTCGAAGTGATGAATATCGTGCAAACAGCCATCATGCGATTTCACCGAAGCAATGAGAATAGGTGTTCAGCTATTCAATGGCGAGCGAGCGAGCGACTAGTGGCCTGAATCACCTAGTAACAACACATGTATTTCGAAACGGGATGTTCATACTGGGTGATATAATAGCTCGGCGGCGCTTGGCCCAGCCATTGATCCGCCCTACTAATCTACGATACCCACACACCTGCCTGCCCAGGTCTCCAAATCCATCAGACATTACCGATTCGATCTCCCTTGTATCCCACGGATCTTCCCCTGCTGCGGAATTTCAGGCACACAGCGACACATCTGGTAGCATCGCGCCGACGGGTCTGCGTGGCAGTTCATGTCTCGGCTCGAGCAGAAACAGACGTCACCGCAGAGGTCGGCAATGCTTCCACCGCAATGCATGGCGTAGCTCGTGGGGGTTGGAGTTGGCGTCGAAGAGTATGAAGTGGATGATGTTGTGGTTGTTGTTATGGTGGTACTATTGGTGGCGGACAAGAACGCGGCGTGCACTATGGTCGCGAAGATCGAGAGGATAAGAGAGGTCTGGAACTCATTAGGACATGCGATGATAATTTTGAGGATAGGCTGGCGTGGGCAAGAGAAGTGAGCGTCAAAGTACCTTCATCTTCGTTTAGCTGCTTGTCCGGCTTTGCTCTGAACACAGACAAGCAAAACTTGGATTGTACAGCTTCATGGTGTATTTATCCTTCATGGAGATGCAGAGATCTCGGGAATGCCTATATCTATGTCTGCCTATGAATTCATTTTACCCGAGTGTGACGAGGGAAATGGAGGTATCGTAGTGATGGGGAACACAGCCCCTTGCTGTATAAACGGGTAGATGGATGTTAACATTTGGTCATGCATTAATGTGCCATCGGAGTAGCATATTTGCCGGGCGAGACTCCGAGCTCAATGTCCCCGAGATGGAGATGATCGTCGCCTCAGACACTTGGTTTTTGAATCATGAGAAAACAGTTAGCCACGTTTGTTTGCATTGAATCGGTCATGCCCTGGGTTGAAAGACGTTTGCGCACCGACATCACAGCTATAATGAGAAGAGAGTGCAGCACTGTCTACGTCCTACTACAACTTCGCGAATACAGTGATCAAATTGATTGACGTCGGTATTACCTCCTCTTTCATAATGTTATTAGATTTAAATTGTATTTCGAGATAATCTGGATTATTTGGCTGGTGACCTGTCACGGATGACGTTATTATTGCATGTTCTGCTTTTCCGCGGCTATTTGGTTCTTGACGAAGTGCGAAAGATATCGTGCCGACTACCGAATTATTGCCTCCGATACCCCCTCCACTATGAAAACCAGCGAAAATAAGGCATTCAAATACCTAACAAACACTCCTGTGAATACCGTCTTCTAGACGCTTCTCCACACCCTTTGAAGTTGGCTGCTCGGAATCCTTCGCCTGAGACCTGACACCCGCATGGCCTGCACTCTTATGCTTGAGAGCGGACAGGTCAGAATCCTGGCTTTCAATCAAGGACTGTGTGACAGAGACTATGTCCGAAATCAGACGGTCGAGTAGATCCAAACTCATGCTCTCCCGAACGACGACGCGCAGGATCTCAATTTGGTTCTCGTCCGGTGGCAATGCGTAGTTTGGTATGATCCACTGACGAGCCCGTAGGAGTAGCGATATCGATTCCTGCTTGATTTGAGGGAACTCGTCTTTGAAACTATCGGATAGTCGGAACGAGACCACAGGCAATCCGGCCACGTAGTCTGCTGACGACTCTCCCTCGGTGCCGGCCACAGCTTGCTTGGCGCCCGTGATGACGCCTGCTACGCCGGACTTCGGCTTGTGGATTTCGGAGACGCACGTATACCAGCCCGTGGCCTCTAGACTCTTGGATAACAGACGGGCATTCGTCAGACAGTTTTCCATGATCTCTCGGTAGCCGTTAAAGCCGAGGTGGATGAGGTTGTAGTACTGCACAATGACTTGTGCGCCAGGGCGCGAAAAGTTGAGTCCGAATGACCTCTCCGTACCGCCGAGATAATGCAGTTCGAAAACCAGGTACTCGGGGAGATAAGTCTCGTCACGCCAGATAATCCATCCAACGCCTGCGTATACTAGGCCGTATTTGTGCCCTGAAGTGTTGATGGACTTGACACGTGGTAACTCGAAGTTCCTATACAGCTTATGAGTACTTATGTAACACTGCATTTGCCAGTTTATGACGAGACCTTACCACTTCGGCCCTCCAGCCTGAGCATGAGTGAAAGGAGCGACGAACCCGCCAGATGCCGCATCGACGTGAATGGGAATGTCGATACCTGTCCGCTCTTGGTACGCGTCGAGAACCTTGGACACCTCTTCGACTGGCTCGTAATGGCCGGTGTACGTACTTCCCATAATGACGAAAACGCCGATCGTGTTTTCATCAAGGTTCTTCTCAACAAGCTTAGGGTCTAAGCGGTAGTTGCTGTCCTTCGACACGGGCAATATCCGCGCTTCGACATCGAAGTAGCGCGCAAACTTCTCCAGCGCCACTTGCGCATTCGCACCCATTATGATATTGGGACGGGATGTATCGAGACCCTTCGCCTTACGCTGTTCCTGCCATCGGCGCTTCATTGCCAGCCCGCCCAGGTGGATTGCCTCTGAGGAGCCCGTGGTAGCAGATCCTATCGCTTTCTCGCCTTTATTGACTCCCCATAGGTGAGCAAGGATGCTGACGCAACGTTCGTGGATGGCCATCATTGCCGGATATTCATCATTGTCCGCAAGATTCTTGGACACTTGGCTGTTGTGTCAATATGGGCGCTGCTGCCAAGGCACGTCGTCAATATTGAAGACTTACAGTTCTCCACCATGAGCTGAGTCGCATTAGGTTCCATATAAGTACCAACGAAGCTATCAGCTGTCAAACATGATGCACATAGATGGTTACTAGCGGTGAGATGTTTTACCTAGCCAGGTTGAGATTCGGCTTGCCATCCAGGTCTAATTCATCGCGAATGAGCTGGTAGACACTATCGGCCGGCGCGCCCTCTTCGGGCAACCGATACTTGGGCACTTCAACGCCACTTGCATACTTCGTTCCGTATGGAGTCAGATGTGAGGTTGTCATGAGCTTGCGAACTTGCTTGCCGCCTTCGGTCAAGTGGGCATCGTGAAGACGCTCCACAAGCTCCTCGGGATCAACCTACATTCTCGTCAACATGATGGGAGCTCGTGTAACTCATTTAGGGGTCAGAACTGACGTGACGGGAGAGCGGCATTGTGACTACTATGGATTGAAGAGGATATGAACTTGGTTAAGTGACACGGAATGCGAATTACGTAGAATCTAACCGAACCTACGCCATTTTATAGAATCGCACCGGGCAGAGCGGCCATTGTGTTTGACGGTGTGTAATACGAATATGACGACATGACGACGTGTTAGATTGTGTAATTGAGACAACAGCAAATCCAGCTCATTGGATCTGGCCATCTACATCTAGACCTTGTTGCTCCACCCTGCCAATGGAAACAAGCTTTTCGAGCGGGGTTTTAGTGAGCTTTTCCCCTGTAGATCGAACTAATGTCCACTAAACTTGAAGCTATCGCCAAAGTGGTTCACGTCTAACGAGCTTTTTTTATTGGCTACTAGGAGTACAAGATTAAATTCATCATCAGCAACATCTGTGCTATCGTGAGGTTGCACCGATTCTGGAATCTAGCCCGTTCGCGGAGTTCTTCGAATCTAGGAGAAGCGTCTTTTCCATCGTAAGGTCCATTAGCCATATGAATTCTGTTTTATAACACTTAACCTACCTATTTAGCAATACTTAGACGACCAATGGAAGATCGAATACGATTAACTTCACTGACGTTCGACGATTCTCTCACTATTAATGTCAACCGATTTTCCATCCTGATTGGCATCTGGAAGTAAAAAATGGGTTTCCATTTGGGAGATTGGTTCGAGTATTGGTTCTGCATCGATTGTACTGAGCGATCTACACTACAATTTTAACCATAGATAGTGACGATACGGCTGCTTTAGGGAAGGCTAAAAAGAGCAGTCCAAATAGTAATTAGAGCATCAAGAAAAGAAGTAAAGCAGAATTATTCGATTAGAAGTAGATGCTTTGGCCTTGGAATAATTATGTGAAATATTTATGGGCTGTCACCTGGCATTATCAAGGAACGAACGGGTCTGCTAACCCCTATTTACCGGTTCAACATCGACCTTTGAAACGTATGAGTCCTTCCCGTAGTAAAGCTGAGCACTTACCTTTATTTCTATATTAATTAATCAGTTATGGGCTCTTTAGTTGACTGCCATATTGTATATATCACGATGGCGCATTTTGAGGTAAGATCAAAGTGACGAGAGGTAGCTGTTCTAGAGCTGGTTGGCTCCTGAGCTGCGTAGCAACAAACAGCCTAGCATGACAAGGTGTTTGTTGCCTGGGTACCTAGGCCGTGATGATTGGTACCAAGGTATAAAAAACCTTTTGGAAAAATATTTACGACTCAGAAAATTAACACCCACCATCGTCAGACCATAATTTCTCTCCGCCAAACCAGTCCCCGCCATTATCGTTTTCACATCAACATACTCAAAGTCTTCGTTAATACCGATCTCATCAGAAATGAATCCTAAAATCGGTAGTTATCGTGGGGGTAGTAAGCAGGACAATGAGCAGCTGTCGTTTGACGGTGTGCGGATTTCTGGTGACGCCCCCGTCGTTGTCGGTTTTCTTGGACGGTTGAAGACCAAGGGCGTACTAAACCATGATGTGACGGTGGATTTGAATTTTGGGGCGACTCCGAATCCACCTGCACCGAAGAGAGCATTCAGCGAAGATGGTATGCAGGCCAATGTCTCTGAACACAAGAGACAGAAACGGGAGCCTATTGATCCTGATGCCTGTGGGAACTGTGGTGAAACGAATCACAAAGCCGCGTTTTGCATCACGACTGGCAGATCCGGATGGGTGGAATGTTGTCCAAAATGTGACAGTACCTTGCATTTGTACGAGCACTGCGTCCAACGCAGAAAGAAAGAGGATTTTATCTTCTTAGTATACAACAGACAGAACAAGCCCCCGATCAAGAGCTCTTTGAAGCTGGGCAATGTTATCAAGAAAGAGCTCGTGCGTCCGCATACGACATTCCGCGAATCTGATCGCATTGCTCTACCATATTCCTCGCGTTTCGCGAGACAAGAGGCTCGCCAAAACCCCCCAGCCACGTATACATATGCTTATGCAGGTAACCCTGTACGAGAGGCTGCTCTCCGCACTTCCCAACCCACCAGAGACGGTATTACTCTTGCAAATGCTGTCAACGATAGCTCGTTCGCACTGCAGGCATGGTCTCGAGCGGAGGAGACCTTTGATCCGAGACGCGACGCACCCATGCCCGTACTGCGGCCCAAAAGAGAACCATCTACATCGACTAATCAGCTAACACGGCATGCACCAGAACGTCCTATACGGCCAAAGCGAGAAGAGTCCGAAACATCCCCGAGTTCGTTCGAAGATATCGAAGAATGCCGAGGAAGAAAGCGGGAGACGGGCCACCTTGGACTTTCCCCTCGAGCTTAGTCGATATCACTTTTGCGCGAAGTATACTCAGAGCCCGATTTATGTGGCAATTGTAGCCAAGGAGACCATCTTGAGAATGACTGCAGAGAGCCGTTTTCTGAATGTGGCTCGGAGCACCACGTGGCCTACCAGGGTTTTCTTGGATGGTCATAAGCTAGGGTAGGATTGGAGAGATGCACTGTAAAGATGAAGAGGGTGGTAACGAAATGCCAGCTGATTTGGGTACTGGGTCTGGAAAATAGGTGACAGTGATAATAGCTGTTGTCAAACATAGACCATGGAATCAGGCAGTGACATTCAATACACAAGGCAGCATTTCTACCTTTAAAACTATATCGATTGATTGGCAGTTGAGCGTTATTAATACATCATCAAAGTCCCTACTTCTCGGAAAGTATGAATATACTTACGTGGTGTTTGCCTGAAGATAACCCCTGGCCTTCCCAGCGTTGATCTCTCTCTTTACCCTTTTTCACCATCTTGCGCATCTCCAGTTCTACAGCTGTACAGCTCAGAATTACTTCTTGTTACGACTTGTCGTTACACTATTCTGATACTGCGAACCAAATACCCAAAACTCCAACTCCTCCACGCCAAGTTACAGTAATCGAGATAAGCGACGGCGATGACGAAGTCAACATTCATCAAGGCCCAATTGAGGGCTTGGTTGAAAGTCGTGAGAATCAAGATGAATCTCATCTTCGACCACCAAAACTCGAAAATCTAAGAAAACCAAGGTTGGAAAGTCCGGGGGTGGACTCACCTACGTTCAAGAGATATTGTGAACGTTTCGCGACATTGGTTCGCTTAAGGGATGAAGTTAAGATCACACAGTCAAGAAGTCCATATGTCGATTCGCTGAACGCCTTATTGAGCTACTATTTGGCATAGAAGACCAAACTGATAACGAGTAGGCTTCAGAAATTGATGCGCTTGCATTCAAGCGATATTCTGAACGATTTGCCAAGTTACTCTAGACAAACGGTAGAGAGAGTCAGATGGTGCTAAGTTAACATTGAAGACCTTGGGGGGTGTACTACCGGTTTAAGAGGCCAAGAATGGCCCAGCCTAGTTACTTCTACTGACCAAACAGGCCAACCACTCAGCGATGATAAGAGAGACTGAGCTAGACACCCTCGATTAAGATCATGCTATGCCCCGAAGATCGTCGCACATGTACCATTAACAACCACGGAGCTTTAACTGCATCACTTAGCGTTGTAGGGATCTTAGATACCCTTGGCGTCCTCCCAGGTGAGGGCGAAACTATGGTAAACACATTTCCTAACACGGTAAAATCGCCTTTGGTTCCTGACGAGCACTTACTTGAATTCTTGGCTGCCAGGCTTAGTAGCGGATTAATTGCGACGTCTATCTCCATTACAACAGAACTACATAGATCATTACTTCACCCATGAGAGATGGCACTATAATTGAGGCGCCTCCTAGTTACTGCCAAGTGCCGTTCAAACATTTTTGCTTTGGCGCCAATGTCATACCCAAATTCCCTCTTCTATATGTGTACGCGGCTTCTCCTACTTATCGACCATGTAGCAGCGCGACGCGGTCCAAAACTACCTCCTCAGGATTGATAAACCAAAAAGACAATGAAGAGCGAATTCTCTGCAGTTGCTGCGTGTTTGACGCTTGCATCCATAGTCTATGGGCAATGCCGTTCCGGCACGCCTGATGCCACCGTGAACGGCGCCCAAGGTGCCTACATCGCAACCAAAGGGTCTGAGCAGGTATATGCGGGATCAGACTACTACCAGGCAATTCAATCGGCGCTGGACTCAATTCAAAGTGGGCAGCGTGTCGCCGTCATCGCATCTGGGTCCATCGGGGAAAGCAGCATCAGCATCGACAGCGGCAAGATCTTCGAGGGGTGCGGCACCATCGATGTAGGGTACCGGGCCGCACACGGGGCTATCGAGTCACTCGGTACCACGGACGTACAGATTCCCTACCTGAGCATGACTGGCAACCCATATTTCGGGCTATGGTTTTATGGCGTGACGAACCTTGCCCTTGGGGAGATCAATATGGCTCTCAGCAACGGGTTGGGCATCCGCTTCGAGCGCGACGAGGCCGCCAACAGGAATGTCAGCAGTATGTCATCTGTCGACTCATTCTCATCAATACCCATACATCTTGCAAGAGACAACCATTACTGACTTCAGTGACTCATAGTGGGCACCGTCACCATAACGGGCGCTGGTAGCCACGCTGTCGAAACCTGGAACATAGATGGGTTAACCATTGACAGTGTCATTGCCCGTGATGTGGGCGAGTGCGGTTTGCTTCTCCAGACCACAACAAATGCCCAGGTGGGACTTGTCGACGGCAATAACGTCGCCGCGGGCACTGGATATGCCACCTTCCGCATGGCGAACAACAACGGACAGCTAGCCGACGGCAGCTACACACCCAACGTGTACGTCGACAAGGTGGTTTCGCGTGGTGGCGGTCGTGGCGTCTTTTGCGTCTCTGAGTCTGGCGGTGCCGTCATCTCTGAAGTCGACCTTGCCAATAACGAGAACAATGCGATCCTGATTGAAAACGGCTATGGCGTCGAGATCAGCAGCGGGACTGTCGAGGGCGGCGGTGAGGTCCGTATATCGGCGCGTAATGAGTTTGAGAACACGAGAGATGTATCTATCACCCTTACCGTGAACAGCAATACGGTTCGTGAGTCGCCGTGTGGCGAGAATATTAGCTGGACGATATCGGGTGACGCTGCTCAACAAATATGTTAATGTGGTGCGTGGACAGACATAACACCACATAACGAGAGATCATAGTCAGACTAAACATGCAGAGCCCATTACCAGAACTACCACCCCAGCTTTAGATGATCGAATTCTCACTGCGATCAAGTCATTACGTCTATGAGGGGATGAAGATAGTATATAGTGATTACATTCCATGTACTATTGAGGAAACAATATAAAAATAATGATCGTGATTGATTCACTACGAAGAGGGAACAAAGCACCAGAAACAGTGGAGGTTAAAAGCTCAAACATCACCTTTGTTTCTTTTTAGCATAAAGCAAGTTATCTTAGCAGTCTTTATGAATTGTTTCGTTATATAAGTGCTCGAACGCGCCGGAAAGCCATTTCTTTACTTTTCTTTCTCAAGATCCTTTTAAGAAGCAATTCAGCTACAGCATATTCAATATGTCTATCCTTATCACCCTTTTAATCTCGCTCTTCCCGATCCTCACACTCAGCACTCCAGTGCCGAAAAAACACCCATCCCCACCCCACCATAGCAATTCAATCTGTCCTCGGGAGGAATCTAAAGCTGGTCAAAGTCCGGGATTACCCACGCCAGCAATTATCGGCATTGTTTTGGGTCTCGGATTGATGCTGCTTAGTTGGTTGATACACCGTGTAATTGCTCATCGCTGGTATTTCTGCTGTGGCAGCGATGACGGGGAAGAAGAAAATTGAAATGAAAGTAATCAAATAAGCATCAAAAAAAAAAAAAAGAGAACAGAATTAATTGATATAATCTTATATTTTAACCTTGAATACGTAAAATATCTGTTTTGATTTACTCGTTAAATTATAAAACATGGGCTGTCGGCACAGGTCTGCCAACCCCCTTTTACCTGATTAACATCCGCCTTTGAATCGTTTTGCATAAGCAAAAACCCTGCCTTACGACCACCCCCCGTCACGACTAGGGCCCTAAGCACCTTAAAACGCGCTTTAATTCCTAACTATTTAATTAAACACTATTTAATAATATAACTATATTTAGGTTTTATAATAACTTTTTACCCTTATTTTATTTAAAATTAATTCCTTTTTATTATTATATCTTTTAATTTTAAAAATTATTATATTAATGTATCTCCTACTTAACCTAGCCACCTAATTAAGCTGGCCACCTATTTAACCTATATAAAAATCCAATGTTTCAATCTGGAATAACTTAACTAATATTAGCCCTACGATTTAATAATTAGTACTATTAGATCCGTTATTTAATAAGGAATCCAGCGGTATTTTTTACTATTTTTTATAAAATTTATTAAGCGAGATATTAAGTAATACGCTAAAAGGGCGCTAGGTAAGGATTATTTTAACGCTTACTTTAACGTATTGCTTAATAACTCCACGAATATAAGTTGTATAAATTAGTGGAGGGTACCTTTAAATAGCTCTTTTTATTACAAATCTAATGGTATATTTTATTATTTTATACAACCAATATCTATAAAGTTATTAAATTATTATATAATTAACGTTTTATATATAAGCTAAGGGGGTGGCCAGGTTAATTGGGTAGCTAGGTTAAGTGGGAGATGCATTATAACTATTATTTATATAATTTAATTTAAAACTTTAATTTAAATAATAATATATATTTAAAGTATTAATAAATTATATTTATTATAATTAAAGTATTATATATAAAGTAAAGCTTATATTAAGGTACCATTTATATATTTATTATAAAATAAAGAATGGAGGAAATATTTTAAGTATAAAAAGTATGGTAAAGTATTTTAATGCGTATAGCGAAGCGATGGTCACGTGGTGATTGCGATATGCGTAACAGTGTGGCCATTTAGGCCCTAAGCCCTAGGTGGGTCATTAGGCTAACTATTATAACTATATTTATATTATTAACTTTAAAGTATTTTTATTAAAAAATAAACCTATATTAACTTTTAAGCTTTATTAATTTATTATAAATATTAATTAATAAATTAAATAATAAAGTAAATTAAATTAAACTTTATATCTTTACTTTTTAAATTTAAACTTATAGTTAAATATAATATATCTTTTATTTAACTTAATTATTTAATTAAGCTAACCACCCTTTTAACCTATATAAAAAACGTTAATATATTAATTATATAATAATTTAATAACTTTATAAATTTTAATTATATAAAATAATAAAATATATTATTAAATTTATAATTAAAAAAGCTATTTAATAATACCTTTTATTAACTTTTATAATTTATATTTATAAAGTTATTAAGTAATATATTAAAGTAAATATTAAATTAATTCTTATTTAATACCTTTTTAATGTATTATTTAATATTTTACTTAATAAATTTTATATAAAATAATAAAAATAACTATTAAACTTTCCTTTAAATAATAAATTTAAAAATATTAATTATTAAATTATATAATTAATATTTATAAAGTTATTATAAATTAAAATAATAAAATTTTATATAAATTATATAATAAATATATTAAATATATATTATAAATAAATATTATAAAGATATATAAAACTTATATTAATAAAGTTATATAACTTATAATAACTATTAACTTAATTATATATATTTTTATATATATTTATATTTTAATTTTATCTTTCCTTTTTTTCTTTTTTAATTTAAAACTTTTATTTATAATATTAATATAATTATACTTTAAACCTTTAATTATAATATTATTTTAAGCTTTTCCTTTTTATTAATAAATGCTATATAAATATATTACTTATATTTAATTACTATTATTTATAATTTATAAATTAAACCCCTTTCTTTATTATTATATTTTATATTTAATAATAAATAAATATAACCTTATAATAAATTTAATTAATAAAATTAAACTTTATATTCCTTAAAATTAAGAAAACCTTAATTAAAATAAATAACTTAAAATAATTTTAACGATTATTATTATATACTTAATAGGACCCAGTAGGGGTTAGCTAATGTATACTGCTATAAGCAGCATGCACTACCGTACCGCTATACGGTACGCACTGCCACACGCACTGCCACACGTGGCACACACCTTGAGGCCAGGGCTATATCTAGGCTTAGCCTACTTTAAGCCATAGGCTCCCTTCCTTTTCAATATATCTTCTTTTCACCCCTTAACTTCTTTATTAATATTATATTTAACGTTCCTATAATTAATAAATAATTAACTTAAAACTTTATCCCTTTTATTAAAGAAAAAGAAATTAATATTAAATTTAAAAATAGCTTTTAAAGCTTTTTAAACCTTAAATTAAAAGATATAACGCTTTTATTATTAAACTTTAATTTAAATAAAGAATTAATAAAATTACTTTAATTAATAAATAAAATAAATATTATTAATTAAATTACTTTAATTTAATAATTATAAAATTAAATTATTATTTTTTAAATTTAAATAAAGAAAGATAGTTTAACTTTAATATTATAAAAAGGTATAATTAAAAGTACCTTTAATAGAATTAACTTTAAGCTAATTAATATAGCTATATAAATTATCTTTAAAATAATTAATTTAATAAATAACCTTATAAGCTTAAATTTAAAATATATAAAAAAGGTTAAAATTTATAAAATTAATTTAAATACTTTTTTAAAAAATAAAGATTTATTTAATAATTAATTAAAAAAGTTAATTAATAAATTTAAAAAAAATATAATAATATATTATATTAAAAAAAGTTAAATATATTATATTATATTCCTTTTAAATAAAGATATTAAAAAAGTAATTAAAATTTATTTTTATTTTATTATTTAATTATATAATAGTTTAATTAAAATAATATAAATATTAAAAATCATTTATTATAACTTAAATTAAATTATTTAAATATAAAATGCTTTAAATAAGTTTTACTTTAAATTAAGCTTTAATGTTTATTAATTTATTTTTTAATTTAATAATTTAATATTAAAGTTAAAGTTATTTAAGTTTAAATAGTTTTAATATTTATAAAAATATATTAGCTTTAACTTTAAAATTAAAATATTTAAAGTTAATATTACTTTATTAATATTATATAAATACTTTTATAATAAAGTAATAAAGGTAATATATTATTATAATTATTATTATAATTATTAAAAGAAAAAATAAATTATTAACTTTATTAATTATAATTTTAATAATAAAAAAAATATAAATAAAGGGAATATTATAATAAAGCTTAAAGGAATAAAACTTTTAAAGGAAGAAAAAAAGACTTATTAAAAAAATAATATTTATTTTAATTATAATAAAATAGGATATTATATTATAAATTACTTTAAAAAAGTAAAAATATAATTTAAATATAAGATAAAGAAAGTAAAAAAAAGCTTATTAATTCCTTTTTTATTAAATTTAAATTAAAAAATTATTTAATTTATATACTTTATTTAAATAAAAATAAATAATTTTAAAATAAAAGTTATTATATTATATAATATTAAAGTTTAAATATATTTAATAATTAATTATAAATTAATTTATTATATTAATTATTAATTAAAAGTTAAGTTAATTACTTTAAAATAATTATAACGGAGCAGCGCGGCGCTTTCACCAACAGCGCAACGCTTTCGCCAATAGCGCAGCGCTCCTAGCTAATGGCGCAGTACGCCCCTGACAAGGGCGCATTACGCCCCGGCAAAAGTATACCTATAAGGGCGCTTTTAATAAGGGCACTACGCTTTAAGGATTAGCTAAAATGCCTATATAGTTAGAATTTTTTATATACTTTATTATAGGATTAATAATAAAATAATACTTTTAACTTAACTTTAAAAATATTACTTAAAAATATTAGTTTAATTTTATTAATTATAAATATTTATTAAAATTATAAGCTTAATTTATTTATAAATTAAATTTTTAATTAAGATTAATACTCTTTTATTATTAATTATATAAAGTATACTTCTTTTTTTTACCTTTTAATTATTTAATATTTATAAATATACTTTATAAATATATAATATTTAAATTAAACTTAATAAAGTTTATTATTTTAAATAATATTATATTATATTTAATTAAAAATTAAGTTAATTAATTTATTTATTTTTAAATATATATAAAGGTATATAGCATTTAAAAAATAATAAATTTAAATCCTTTATAAATGTTTAAAAAGGTTAATACCTTTTTAAACTTTTAAATATTTTTAATTTCTATAAA